AAAGTTCCTCCATCTCAAGAAGCGTTTTCTTAACGTGGGCACGTTTAGCGCGTTTGCATTTCTTATCGAAAGTTGTTCTTCTTGCAACGTATATACTCTTTAGATGCTTTTTCCTGGGACCATTAGATTTGCACCATAACAATTCTTCTTCACAAAGGTTTTTCCATAGCTCAGCTAACTCCAAATTCCACCACTGTTTCTTGTATTTACATTTAAATTTCTTTCTCACCGAATAATGCACAACTGCTCTTGACGGAAGGATTCCTTTCATCTCACATCATACAACCTCGGCGAAAGATTCAAAAGCCATATTGATAGACGTTTTGTCTTTTATTGAGACTTCCAAAGCACTAATGACTTTATCTAGTTTCAGACCTGACTCCGTTGAACTACAGAATTGCTCTGGAATTCTTGAACAGTCAAATTTAACAGACGTAACTGGAATAGCATTATCATTGGTGAAAGTCGAATGCGTTGTACCCATTTCCAGTGTCATGTTCCACTTCAACATAGAGTGATCCAGCTTGAAAATATAAGTAGGGTCTATAGATCCAGTGCATCCTGCTGATGTAGCTACAACGTTTGGTCTAACCACTTCAAAATCCGTGAAAAATTGTCAACGATTCATATGCAAGAGTGATCCAGCTTGAAAATATAAGTAGGGTCTATAGATCCAGTGCATCCTGCTGATGTAGCTACAACGTTTGGTCTAACCACTTCAAAATCCGTGAAAAATTGTCAACGATTCATATGCAGTCAAGCAGTAATCTACCACTGAAGTGCCTCTATTTGATACATATGTGTATCATTGTTTTTACAATCTCTACCATTAATAATACCATAATTGACATTAATCAAAAATTTAATTAAAGCACGGCTATGGGCATTAATAACATCATCAACAACATAACAATGTATTATAGTTATTGGCATTTAATAACAACGTTTCATAAAACTCCAAAGCGTCGATGTCTCTTGTTGAGTTTTCTGGTGGCAGGTAACACACACACGTGCACATGCCGTCAGTACAGTTTCATTGCTGTGTTTACACACCAATCTCAACCATAAAATGCCTTCAAACGATTTGTCTAAAATATTCACATTGTATTTTTCACATATATCTTTTTTTATTAAACAACCGATACCACCCGATCCTCGCTTGGCTATAATGTGAGTTCTGTTTCTATTTTGTCCAAACCAATTGTAACCGTCAACTGTAATAGTTTTGTTATTTACAAGATAGGTTTCTGCAATACCAATTATGTCAAAGTTATTTTCAATAACACATGTCGATCTCAATCGATGATTCTCGGAAATTAAGTCAGTGTCCCACCCTCCAACATTCCAAAACCCACCGCGTACCTATCTATGTGTACCTCTGCTTGGAGCGCGTGTCCCTGCTGTTGGCAGCCGGGTTTGGTGATCGCTAGTTGGTGCGTGCGGAGCGTTGATTGGTCGATGGCACTGGTCACGTGATCTTCGTTGATCAACATTACCACGTGCGTATATAGTATGACCCGAAATTATTGAGAATTTTAGGAATATGTTTAATTGGATTTCTAGTATAAACAACCTTGACCAGCTATCAAGTGCTTGGTTTCATTCAAGAGAGACAACTCCGTTAATCCTTTTTCATTAGTTTGTGAAGAGTTATCTCCCTTTGTTTACTTGCTAGCAGACGACATTTTCAGTGATCCTCAGTATGGATGATTTAGAGAAGAGGAAGTTGATTGTAGAGTATTATAACAAGGACATCAGATCAGCTAAAGTGATTTCAAGTAGAACAGGCATCCCTTTGTCCACTGTTTATCGTGTTTTGAAAAATATTGCAAATAGATATGGCATTGAGCACCAGGGAGGCGCAGGTAGGCCCAGAAAATTGACTGTCGGTGACAGGAGGCGGCTTGGTATTCTTGTTTCTAAAACAAACAAAGGAGTTTAGAAAACTTAAGGCTGGATATGATTGATAGAGGAAATGTGGCTGTCTGTAAGGAGACAATTAGAACTGAGTTGCATGCCATGGGTTGGCAGAAATGTCGAGGAATTCCATCACCGATCATGAAACCTGAACAAAAGGAGCGAAGATTGAACTGGTGCTTACAGCATAGAAATTTTAACTGGGACAAAGTGATTTTCTCAGATGAAAGTTCTGTGTGGCTATTTCCTAATACACTGAAATTCTGGACCAAACAAACTGAAAAACCTTTGTATCAGCGCCCAAAGTACAGTCCGAAATTTAACGTGTGGGGTGGCATATCTGTGTTAGGGGCAACGCCCCTCTATGTATTTGAAGGGAATATGAACAGTGAGCGGTACACAGATATTCTCGAAGGACATTTACTTCCATATGCTCACGTGTTCTATGGACATTTTTGGATTTTCCAGCAGGACAACGATCCAAAACATCGTTCAAAGCATTCACAGGCCTGGTTTCGGACCCAAAATATGACATTATTAGATTGACCAAGCTATAGCCCTGACCTAAATCCAATAGAAAATGTTTGGGGACTTATGAAGGAAAGTGTCAATAAGAAAAATCTGACAAATATTGCTGAAATGAAAGAAGAGGTGGTCCGATATTGGGACAGCATGGACCACGACTTTCTAACTTCTTTGATCAGTACTAGTATGCCCCGCCGCATTGAAGCCTGCATTGCTGCCCATGGTGACATGACAAAATACTAACTGTTCACCTGTTTTTGAATCTGGAGTTATGTTCTGCTAATATTCACATTTAATACGTGAGTAATGAGTGAAAAAAATAACAAAATTACAATCTTTAAATTCTCAATAATTTCTGGTTGTACTGGACATCCCTCCGATCTACGTTGTTGTTGCTCTCTGTTCTCGCCTGGTTTTTGTCCCGGGGGAACCGCGGGTATTGCTCCTCCTCTTCTTCGCGGCCCCAGTGTCCAGCTGACCTGCCCCTTTTGTACAGCTTAAGACCAGACACACTGAGTTTACCACCCCCAACTGTCCCGGCTAACACCCTCATGTTGGATTCTAAAATGCGTTGTTGCACTGGCTTGTCTGGTGTTATGTGCCCATTCCTAAGTTTCTACTGTTAGTCAATCTCTTCTTTTCCTCGAGGATCTTCTCCTTGTCCCCCGTAGAGCTACACGTAGCCACTATCAAGCCCGGGTATTTGGGGTGACGAGACACTTTTCTAACGGCTTGTGCAACGCTAATGTCCTTTAAATGCAAACCTGCATGATAAGCGCGAGTAATGTTATGTACATGTGGCGTACAAGTCAACCATTGAACGTTCATTTGCTCGTAACTGATACATTTCATGCAACTGGTACAAAGCTCATTATTCCACAGTGGTTCGAATCACTGTTTGGACAATAATTTAAAAGAATAAAAATCTAGATTTTTGCACCTGTATGTTGTTTTTATATGTAATGAGTAAATTATATTTCAAATTTGAACGAAATCGGTGAAGAAATGGATTTATTAGAAAATTCACCCTCTACACTCATTACATAAAATAAAGCATGCGTTATTCTTCTCAACAGCCAGACGACAAAGGCACCTCGGACATTAACATAGCCGGTTATGCAAGACACGGCTGCTAATCAGTCACATTAGTGTCAATGGATGATTCAGCAAAGGATCTTAGAAATCGTCATACGTCAGTTACAGAATGAATGCCATACGTCAGTAACAGAATGATTGCCATACGTCATAACAGAATGAATTCCATACGTCAGTAACAGAATAAATGCCATACGTCAGTAACAGAATGAATGTCATACGTCATAACCGAACGAATGCCATACGTCAGTAACACAATGAATGCCATACGTCAGTAACACAATGAATGCCACCCGTCAGTAACAGAATGAATGCCATACGTCAGTAACAGAATGAATGCCACCCGACAGTAACAGAATGAATGCCACCCGTCAGTAACAGAATGAATGCCACCCGTCAGTAACAGAATGAATGCCATACGTCAGTAACCGAATGAATACCACCCGTCAGTAACACAGTGAATATTCTCTTCGGTACCAGAATGAATGTGATATGTCAGTTATAGATCTTAGATGATTATCCATCATTAAAGGTCAAATGCGACTTGTTGTGCGATTTATTATAGCGCAGATGTAACAGATATTGTTTAGATAATGCTTCTCCGAATGTCCTATTATCGTTCTTCGTGGAAAAGGCATGAGGAAATAAATTTACCCGGAAAAACAGAAATTGCAGAAAATCAGCTAACTGCATGATAAGAGCAAAATGTTTTATTCAACTTGTGACTATTGTCCATGCTATCAGTCATTCACGCATGTCCGGTACCAACTGAACGAAAACGAAGTCGGAGTGCGGCGTTAAACAACATTCTAGTCTATTACTTGTTTAATACATTTGTTGCTTTAAGAACACATTATTGGAATTCACCTCACTGTTTGTTATTAAATCAGACAACTGTGGACTAGGTGCGAGGGTGTGGTCAGACCGAGGGCGTGGGTTTGTTCTGAAGTGGAATGGTGCTCTTCTCATCAACCACTGGTTTACCGATTCCATTCTCCAGAATTGAGAAATGTCTTTGAATAGGTTGATGTATTTGGCGGATTCACTCACACACGGATGAGAGGCGGTGGGGTAGTCTAGTGGTTAAAGCGTTCGCTCGGGTTCGATTCCCAATATGGGTACAATGAAGCCCATTGATATCCCCTGCCGTGATATTACAGGAATATTACTAAAAGCGGCGTAAAACCAAACTCACGCACTCACACACGGATGCATTCTATTGTTATGTCGATGTGTGTAAGGGGTATCCACACCATAAAACTAAATATTTTTCTCGAATGCCCGTCAGTCCAGCCGCTCTCTGCTTTAGTTATCATTTTCCCTTTCACTTCACTTTTCCATTGTTCTGTCTTTCTATTCTTATTTGTCCGACACATGCCGGTTCGCGTCATTTACATGGGCTCGTTCCACATATGAAAAATGACATGACAATATAGTGTTCAGACAAGTATCAGCCTGTCACCCGTTATAGTAGCTTACATACTTATCTACGCCAGAATTGTTGCACTTAAACACTGAGTGTGAGAGTGTGCACACCAGTAGAGTGACGTAAGCAATCGATCTGTAGCTAGACAGCTGAGTATAGTATGGACCTATTTCTGTACAGTTGTACGTGTGGTATTTCATGGTTCATATTCTAAGGAATTGTTGAAACGGTAAGTAATTATGTTTAATTTCATCATCATGCTAAAAGACGTTTAGAACTGTAACTTATTTGACCAGCTGGCTGGGCATTAGTTATAAAAGAAATGGTCGCTTAGAAAGTATACTGAATACTGTCACGATATACTAACAAATAACGGGTTAATGACAGTGGTGTATGTTCAAGTAAAACAGTACCATGCTATCACGAACAATTACGTTTCATGAAAATAATATGTAGTACACATTAATTTGTTTGTATGTTTCTATTTCCAACGAATATTGGCTTAGTGTGCAGGCAATAACAATAGCCTGTAGAGATGTGCGTGAAATGAAATCAATTACTTAATAGTGCAATGAAGACACGATGTGGTGTGGTCGGGTGGCGGGTGGAGGCTGTGATAGAGAGAAGCGGGGAGGTGTGTTGCAGGTAGGTAGACACAGTGTGGTGTGGTCGGGTGGCGGGTGGTGGATGTGATAGAGAGAAGTGGGAGGTGTGTTGCAGGTAGACACAGTGTGGTGTGGTCGGGTGGCGGGGTGTGATAGAGAGAAGTGGGGAGGTGTGTTGCAAGTAGACACAGTGTGGTGTGGTCGGGTGGCGGGGTTTGATAGAGAGAAGTGGGGAGGTGTGTTGCAAGTAGACACAGTGTGGTGTGGTCGGGTGGCGGGGTGTGATAGAGAGAAGCGGGGAGGTGTGTTGCAGGTAGACACAGTGTGGTGTGGTCGGGTGGCGGGTGGTGGCTGTGATAGAGAGAAGCGGGGAGGTGTGTTGCAGGTAGACACAGTGTGGTGTGGTCGGGTGGCGGGTGGTGGCTGTGATAGAGAGACGTGGGAAGGTGTGTTGCAGGTAGACACAGTGTGGTGTGGTCGGGTGGCGGGTGGTGGCTGTGATAGAGAGAAGCGGGGAGGTGTGTTGCAGGTAGACACAGTGTGGTGTGGTCGGGTGGCGGGGTGTGATAGAGAGAAGCGGGGAGGTGTGTTGCAGGTAGACACAGTGTGGTGTGGTCGGGTGGCGGGTGGTGGCTGTGATAGAGAGAAGCGGGGAGGTGTGTTGCAGGTAGAAACACAGGGTGGTGTGGTCTGGTGGCGGGTGGTGGCTGTGATAGAGAGAAGTGGGAAGGTGTGTTGCAGGTAGACACGATGTGGTGTGGTCTGGTGGCGGGTGGCGGGTTGTTATAGGGAGAAGTGGGGAGGTGTGTTGGAGGTACACACAGTGTGGTGTGGTTGGGTGGCGGGTGGTGGATGTGATAGAGAGAAGCGGGGAGGTGTGTTGCAGGTAGACACAGTGTGGTGTGGTCGGTTAGCGGGGTGTGATAGGGAGAAGTGGGGAGGTGTGTTGCAGGTAGACACGATGTGGTGTGGTCGGGTAGCGGGGTGTGATAGAGGGAAGTGGGGAGGTGTGTTGCAGGTAGACATGATGTGGTGTGGTCTGGTGGCGGGTGGTGGCTGTGATAGAGAGACGTGGGAAGGTGTGTTGCAGGTAGACACAGTGTGGTGTGGTCGGGTGGCGGGTGGTGGATGTGATAGAGAGAAGCGGGGAGGTGTGTTGCAGGTAGACACAGTGTGGTGTGGTCGGGTAGCGGGGTGTGATAGAGAGAAGTGGGGAGGTGTGTTGCAGGTAGACACAGTGTGGTGTGGTCGGGTAGCGGGGTGTGATAGAGAGAAGTGGGGAGGTGTGTTGCAGGTAGACACAGTGTGGTGTGGTCGGGTAGCGGGGTGTGATAGAGAAGTGGGGAGGTGTGTTGCAGGTAGACACGATGTGGTGTGGTCGGGTAGCGGGCTGTGATAGAGAAGTGAGGAGGTGTGTTGCAGGTAGACACAGTGTGGTGTGGTCGGGTAGCGGGGTTTGATAGAGAGAAGTGGGGAGGTGTGTTGCAGGTAGACACGATGTGGTGTGGTGTGGTAGTGGGGGGGTGTTTTATAGAGAAGCGTGGGAGGTGTGTTGCAGGTAGACACGATGTGGTGTGGTCGGGTAGCGGGGATGTGATAGAGAAGTGGGGAGGTGTGTTGCAGGTAGACACGATGTGGTGTGGTCTGGTAGCGGGGTTTGATAGAGAAACGTGGGGAGGTGTGTTGCAGGTAGACACGATGTGGTGTGGTCGGGTAGCGGGGTGTGATAGAGAGAAGTGGGGAGGTGTGTTGCAGGTGGACACGAGTGTGGTGTGGTCAGGTAGTAGGGGGTTTGATAGAGAAAGTGGGGAGGTGTGTTGCAGGTAGACACGGTGTGGTGTGGTCGGGTTTGTAGGGGTTTGATAGAGAGAAACGTGGGGAGGTGTGTTGCAGGTAGACACGATGTGGTGTGGTCGGGTAGCGGGGTGTGATAGAGTGAGTGGAGAGGTGTGGGAGGTGTGTTGCAGGTAGGGTGTGACGAGAAGTGGGGTGTGTTGCAGGTCACGGTGGTGAGGGGTAGCAGGGGTGTAGATAGAAGTGGGAGGTAGGGTGTTGCAGGTGGAGCCACGGTGTGGTGTGGTCGGGTGGCGGTGGGGTGATGAAGTGAAGTGGGGAGGTGTGTTGCAGGTAGACACAGTGTGGTGTGGTCGGGTGGCGGGGTGTGATAGAGAGAAGTGGGGGAGGTGTGTTGCAGGTGGACACGATGTGGTGTGGTCGGGTGGCGGGGTGTGATAGAAGTGGGGAGGTGTGTTGCAGGTAGACACGGTGTGGTGTGGTCGGGTGGCGGGGTGTGATAGAAGTGGGAGGTGGCGGGTGGGCACGGTGTGGAGGTGGTTGCAGGAGGGGTGTGATAGGTGGACAGTGGGGTGGTGTGGGTCGGGTAGATGGACAGAACGTAGGGGGGGTGTGATAGGTTGGAAGTGGGGAGGTGTGTTGCAGGTGGACACGGTGTGGTGTGGTCGGGTGGCGGGGTGTGATAGAGAAGTGGGGAGGTGTGTTGCAGGTGGACACAGTGTGGTGTGGTCGGGTAGCGGGGTGTGATAGAGACGGTGGGAGGTGTGTTGCAGGTGGGACACGGTGTGGTGTGGTCGGGTAGGTGGGGTGTGATAGAGAGAAGTGGGGAGGTGTGTTGCAGGTAGACACGGTGTGGTGTGGTCGGGTAGCGGGGTGTGATAGAGAGAAGTGGGGAGGTGTGTTGCAGGTAGACACGATGTGGTGTGGTCGGGTAGCGGGGTGTGATAGAGAAGTGGGGAGGTGTGTTGCAGGTAGACACGATGTGGTGTGGTCGGGTGGTAGGGTGGGGTGTGATAGAGAAACGTGGGGAGGTGTGTTGCAGGTAGACACGGTGTGGTGTGGTCGGGTAGCGGGGTTTGATAGAGTGAAGTGGGGAGGTGTGTTGCAGGTGGACACAGTGTGGTGTGGTCGGGTAGCGGGGTTTGATAGAGAGAAGTGGGGAGGTGTGTTGCAGGTAGACACAGTGTGGTGTGGTCGTGTGATAAGCGTGGGGAGGTGGTTGCAGGTGACACGGTGTGGTGTGGTAGAGAGAGAGTGAAGTGGGGAGGTGTGTTGCAGGTAGACACAGTGTGGTGTGGTCGGGTAGCGGGGTGTGATAGAGATACGTGGGGAGGTGTGTTGCAGGTAGACACGATGTGGTGTAGTCGGTTGGTGAGGTGTGATAGAGTGAAGTGGGGTGGTGTGTTGCAGGTAGACACAGTGTGGTGTGGTCTGGTGGCGGGTGGTGGAGTGTGATAGAGAGAAGTGGGGAGGTGTGTTACAGGTAGACACGGTGTGGTGTGGTCTGGTGGCGGGTGGTGGAGTGTGATAGAGAGAAGTGGGGAGGTGTGTTACAGGTAGACACGGTGTGGTGTGGTCTGGTGGCGGGTGTTGGGGTGTGATAGGGAGAAGTGGGGAGGTGGGTTACAGGTAGACACGGTGTGGTATGGTCGGGTGGCGGGCGTTGGGGTGTGATAGCGAGAAGTGGGGAGGTCGGTTACAGGTAGACACGTTCTGATGTGGTCGGGTGGCGGGTGTGAGGTGTGATAGAGAGAAGTGGGGAGGTGTGTTGCAGTAAGAAACAGTGTGGTGTGGTCTGGTTGCGGGTGGTGGTGCGTGATAGAGAGAAGTGGGGAGGTGTGCTGCAAGAAGACACGATGTGGTGTAGTGTGGTGGCCGGGTGTGATAGAAAGAAGTCAGGGTGTGTTGCAGGTACACACGGTGTGGTATGGTCGGGTGGCGGGTTGGGGTGTGATAGAGAGAAGTGGGGAGGTGGTTTACAGGTAGACACGGTGTGGTGTGTTCGGGTGGCGGGGTGTGATAGCGAGACGTGGGGAGGTGTGTTGCAGGTACACACGGTGTGGTGTGGTCGAGTGGCGGGTGGTGGGGTGTGATAGAGAGAAGTGGGGAGGTGGGTTACAGGTAGACACAGTGTGGTGTGGTCTGGTGGCGGATGGTGGGATTTGATAAAGAGAAGTGGGGAGGTGGGTTACGGGTAGACACAGTGTAGTGTGGTCGGGTGGCGGATGGTGGGGTGTGATAGCGAGAAGTGGGGAGGTGGGTTACAGGTAGACACGGTGTGTTTAGGTCGGGTGGCGGATGGTGGGGTGTGATAGAGAGAAGTGGGGATGTGGGTTACAGGTAGACACGCTGTTGTGCGGTCGGGTGACGGGTGGTGGGGAGTGATAGAGAGAAGTGGGGAGGTGGGTTACACGAAGACACGATGTGGTCCCCTCGGGTTGCGGGTGGTTGGAAATGATAAAGAGAAGTGGGGAGGTGTGTTGCAGGAAGACACTATGTGGTGTGGTCGGGTGGCGGACGGTGGGATGTGATGGCGAGAAGTGGGGAGGTGTGTTGCAGGAAGACACGATCTCGTGCGGTCGGGTTTTGGGTGGTGGGGTGTGATAGAGAAAACTTGGTAGGTGTGTTGCAGGAAGACACTATGTGGTGTGGTCGGGTGGCAGTTGACGAGGGGCGGGTGGTGGGGTGTGTAGTGTTGGGTGTGAGAGGGAGAAGCGGGGGAGGGGTGAGCAGAAGGAAGACATGATGTTGTCGTTGCGGGTAGCGGGGTTCTGAGTCTGGGTTGTGATAGGGGGAAGAGGGGAGATGGGTCATAGGAAGACTCGACCTGATGTAGTAGAGTGGCGGGTGATAGGAAGATGTGGACTGATAGGTGTAAAAATGCCACACTGTCTGCGGTAAATAATGTGCAATTTTATAACATCCGGATCTTTAACAGTTGTAAGCGTATTATTTTCTAATGTGTTTCTTCAGTAACCGTAAGAACAACTTTTGTAGAATAAACCCCAAGTTTGATATGCATATTCTCCTTGCCATCAGTGTCACCGCGAGGACAGGACTTTATTAGGACACTTCATACGTGAAGGAGCGATCGGAACAACAGCAAGAAGTACCTCTCTGCTGTGCGACGTTGCATGGACACATTAACTGTGAGTCACTTAAATAGAGTGAGGATTTGTGGGAATATCGCCAATCATCAAGATGTCGGGCAATTCAAATCTGAAAAATGAAAGTCCAAATATCCGACCATCGAGAAAGAATAATAACAACGTGGAAGATGTGGTGTCCTTGGAAATGACGCACCTCTTTATGTTGGGGCTTAAGCGGAACAAACAAGCAAAGGAAGGCTTCTCTATGATAGACCTTATCAACACACAGCTCACTCAAACAAGGATAAAGCAGATTGAAAGAATTGAGCAGACACTTCTTTGTCAGTGTGCAGAAATAAGCAGCAGATATAAAAATACACATATAGATGACCTGGACGCTTTTTGTACCCAAACATTCAGGTTGGCTTTGTTTAAAAAAGAATTAGTTAACAATAACATCGATGTTCATGAGAGTTTAACCAAATTTGATGAGGAAGAGGTTGCATCTTATGAGGTAGTTAGATGCTCTTTAGATGTAACGGTTGCTAACAAAGGGGAGAATTTTGACGAACTAAACAAAAGGCAACAGCGACGTCGCCTGACACAGATCAAGAATCGATCACAGAAGAGTCTTTCTTTTCTGGCGGAGTACCGGCTTTCACCCAAAGACCTAGTCATGACCTCGCCGATAGGCACAGAGTACAGGGTTTGCTTTGATGCAGATGGCCAGAAACGCTTGGAGCCCGAGAACCTCCGCACTCTTGTTGGTCTCATGGACAGGTTTTGTGTAAGTGAAGCTGCTTATCACGAACTTGCACAATTGTATCCGAACCTACCCCGCACGCATACTGTCATCAATGCCCGCCGACAGATGACCGCTACCCTCAACATCGAACGAGTACCAGGCGATGTCAACGGAGCACTGGTAAGCTTCAGATGTGAACTTCACAAAAAATTACAAGACGTCTTGAAAGAAAATCCCGACCAGAATAAAGTTATGGTTCAGTTAAGCATGGATGGAACGCACGTCAGTCGCATATCCAACTATGTGGTGTTTTCATTTCGGTTGGTGGACATGTCGGATAGCTGCTCCGCTGACAGTATTAAAACTCTGGCAATCTTAAACTGCAGAGAAGACTATATTAAACTGAAAACTTCCTTGCAACCTTTATTCGAAGAAATTAACTCAGTAATTGAAGATGGCTATGTGAATGTAGATGACAAAGCTATAGGAGTTAAGATTGTTTTCTGTGCTGACATGAAGATGATCCTGACAATTCTTGGACTGGGAGGAATCTCCTGCAATCACGCCTGTGTCTGGTGCTTGATGCACAGAGGTGACAGACACAACATGGAACATCCACTGGACTACTTCAACAGCGACGACATGAAGAGGAACTGGCAACAAATGACAGAACATGCTGTGAAATGTGAGTTTGGGGTACAACACACTCCTCTCTTGAAAATAGAAGTGGAGGACTATGTACTAGATGAGCTACATCTTCTGCTACGAATTACTGATCTTCTGGAGAGGAACCTGATTGATGAGGTAAAAACCCGAGATGAAGAAGAAAGAACCTCGAAAGGACAACCTACACATATGGACAAACTTGTCAAGTCCATAAAAGACTGTGGAGTATCTTTTTCGTTTTGGCAGGATAAGGAAACCAGGAAACTAAAATGGACGAGTTTGAATGGTCAGGAAAAAAGAAAACTTTTGGCTAAACTCCCACAAACATTAAAAGGGAAGCTTAGACCAAACACAGAGGAGAGAGTCTTAAGACTGTGGTCTTTGTTGTTTGTTATACATACCAAAATCACATCCCCCGAGTCTGTGGATGCACAAGAAGTGTTTGAATTATCCAGAAATTGGGTAAAAATTTTCTTATCACTTGACAAACACTTATCAGGATACAACGAAAGGAACATAACTCCATATGTCCATTGCATGGTGTATCACGTACCCTTCATGATACAAAAATTTGGTACTTTGAGGTCGTTCAGCTGCCAAGCTTTCGAGAAGCGCAATGATGTGATTAAGAAGATACATCAGCGGAAATCAAACAAATGGGACCCCACTGTTGAAGCTCTTCAGATCTGCAAACGCATGGAAGAAAGCTCCAAGTCTACACGAGACAAGCGTCAATACATAAAGAGAAAACCTGAGTACTGGAACGAGGAAATCCAACAAAACCGACGTGCGAAGCGAGCAAAACTAGATCTGATAAACTGCCAACCTGTTGAAGCAGTTGTATTGGAGAGCATGAATGAACCGGAATTGAGAGACTATATTGAGGGAAAGGGTATCAAAACCAAAGCCAGAAGTCGGGGCTGGCTTCTGAAAGAGGCAAAGCGTCTTGATATATAACTTTGTGACTGTCGCATATACTGTGACAGGCTTTGAAAGTGATACAGTGATTTCAAGCAAGTATTCAGTTTCTATTCAAGGACCATTGTTATTCAATGTTCCTCTCGTGTGTCTAGTGGTATTGTATCATTTGTAGGTCGCTCAAAGTCGCGCTTACTCGGCGTGTCTAGGCACGAACCATTTCCCAGGGAAATAGGCCTCTTGCACACGGTGTCTCGTATTTAGAATACTAACAGCTTTGACACAAATGTCATATAAGTGGTGAATACAAAAGTTGCTAAGAGGATATTTAATAAGTTTAACTACTGGACCGCGTCAATATTACCTTACATACAATCACGTCCATAAAACTGTCGCATTTATCACTTCGTTCAGAATAGACTCTGAATGTGTACACAAGTGCTTGAACGATTTTGTAAAATCGAAATCGTTCTCAGGTCTGCATGTCTATGCACGAACGATCGCGTCTTGAATATGTATGTACAAAATGCTTATCTTAATTAATTACAGTCAGTCATAAATTCCCTGTCCTGATTTTGTAAGAAAAACAATATCAATATATCAGTGTAAGACACATTTACAAGGAAGCAATGCTATATATTTTCGCCGGCTATATTTAACATTTGACACTTATTTTACCACGGTTACCGGACATGTTATTAATCTTAGACTCACACCTCAAATGTCACACGTTTCCTTAGCTAATGGGGAATGCAAAAAAGGCATTTCAACATTTTACAAAGCATAAGGGACCTGAATGAAATTTAAAATTATTATGAATGATAAATATATGAGAGGTGCCAGTTACATTTGCCCCTTGATTATATAACCACGTGACTTATTATCTGACCCCCACGATCTGCTCCTGTGTCACAAACCAGAAGTATTGCCGATATCGTGAAGCTAAGGATATCCTTGAATGTTTTAAGAACAGGACGATCTTGTCAAAACAATATGTATAATATTGATATTATATAAGTCATAACAAGGCAAATATGTGACAGACATATTCGCTTGTTTCATGATTTTTTCATGATGTTTGACACAGACAAACGCCTTTGACTATGCACATGGGGATTTATCATGGATCACCCACTTAGAATTAGGCGTCTGGATGAATATCTACGAGCCATCAGATCAATGTCAATCAAGATTGAATACACTGTGCCAGTTAAGCAGTATACAGTTGTTATCCACCCTTTATAGTCAGGTGTACAGCAATGATGTGTCCTTCCGCCTATACCGTTTGCAATGTGTAAGAGAGGATCTTTTGAATACAACCAAGGCTCAAGTGGTCGCGTGACAGCTACTGTTACGTCGAGGGGACAGGGAGAGGTGCGTGACGTATCTCAGCTGAAAGTCGAAACCATGTGTGGGCACGTGTGCGTATTGTTCTGTACAGTAAAGCCTACTTCAAGCAATCGCCCGCTCAAACATGATTGCCACGTCGTCTGTACAATACTGTTACGCAAGCTGAGTGGCGGAACCAGAGGAGGGGGTGTGTGTGTCAGAAGTTAATGTTTTGCAATGGCGGAGTCAAGGTGGAGTTACACACACACACACACACACACACACACACACACACACACACACACACACACACACACACACACACACACACACACACACACACACACACACACACACACACACACACACACACACACACACACACACACACACACACACACTTTGAAAATTTCTGGATCCGCCTAGCTTAGCTTGTGTATCGTTTAGAGAATGTCACTGCATAAATAATACATGTGACTCACGAAACACACTTGTGCAGGTTTGACTATGAACTATATTAGCGAAAGACGTAGGGTGCTTGTAAAACGCTCCAGTGCACTTGTCGAAAGGTGATATCTTCACGCGTTGGTTGGTTTGTTGTTGTTTAACCAAGTCAGCGAGCCTGACTACCCGATCCCGCTAGTCGCCTTTTACGACAATCATGGGTTACTGATCATGATCAATTCTAACTCAGATCGTCACAGGTCGATATCGTCACGGACTCTAATTGAATATCTCAGTGTTATGTTTTATTTATTTGTATTTCAGTGTTGATGTTTATTACCTTTAAATGTGTTTCAATACATTATTCTTTTGAGTAATTGGAGCAAGTTGAGTTTCAGTTTGAGTCACATGGAAAAAACAGATGCCATTAAAATGCTCTATTCTGCTCGTGGACCATGGTATTAATTCTATTGCGTATAGATTTCTGCATTAATATATTGCTGTGGGGATAGCCTCGCGGTTAACACTGAAGACTCTCATGAACACGATATGTAACGCCTATTTCTAGCGTCCCATGCCGTTATATTGCTGAAATATTAGTACACTAAAAGAGGCGAAAGACCATTGAATTCTCACTCATTCAAATACAGGAGACACAGGTTTTGGCAACACAAGTAAACAATACTGTCCCCAGCCAGCTTATCGATCTACCGACTGTTCAATATCTATTGTACTGGCGACATGCTTACCCTACGCTCGATTATTTGCTAAGCAATACTGTCAACAGTCCGCATATTATAGGATATTTATGTAGCGCACGTATCCACGCAACTAGTACATGCTCAAGGCGCTGGTATCGATCCACCGAGTGAATGAGTGAGTGAGTAACGAGTGAGTGAAGAGTGTGAATTCTTACTGTCAATCGAGTACTGCCATGGGTGCATATTATCATCGTTGTATTTATTGCTATTATTACTGCTCTTGTAATATCTTGTGAACTTGGTTCATTTTGGAATACAGTTATAATTACTGCTCTTGTAATATCTTGTGAACTTAGTTCATTTTGGAATACAGTTGTTAATTACAGCACATTTCTTTGTTGTTTGTTAATTGGCAGGGATGTCTAAACAAGAGGAATTTAAGAGCCAAGGAGAAACGAATATATGTCAAATATTTATCAGAGTAGTAGATACAATAGCGGTCCGAGACCAAGTCCAACAAAAGCCTCTGTAAAGCTTTATTTCACAAATAAAGCTTTTGTCAGGCCCTTAGATCTCACCCCCCATTGTCTACTACTTTTGAACCCCCCAGTTAATTTCCCGGCCCCACGTGACACAATAGTGCCGCTATGACCGCGAACTAGCACTTGACACTATGTCGCGTTGACCTCGATGAAACAGTTTAATGTGAATCGCCTATGATTTCTTTGGTGTTCATAATAAAGGCTTGCTGGGCTTTCCGTACCCCCTGTTCTATGTACTTTTTTTTCTCGTCTTTGCTGATGGCAGACTTACGAGACTTGGACCGGATTTCTTGTTTCTTCTTACGGTACTTGTCGAGTTCAGAGAGGATTGAACGAAATTCCTCCTCTGAGATCTTACTGTCAGTGAGTGCCGAGGAAATACGCTCACTTACCGTGTTCAGCTTTGCTTCGGCTAGAACCCTGATCTCATCGTGTTTCAATGCCTCACGATGCAGTCTGCGTGATGCAAACTTAAACACCAACCCTGCCACCCCTACAACCCCAGCTGTTATTTCAATGCCTAGCACTATAGGTGCGGCCACGATGGTGGCTAACAACCCAACACCTGCCGCCCCTAGTCCAATGCTGGTTGCCATAAGGGCAGTATCAGTCCCGTCCACGATATTGAAAGCTCTATGGTACTTCTTAATAGTGCTTTCCGCGTGTCGCGGTCTTGTTCTAGTTGGCGTTTTACACCACATAACTGTCTCAAGTGGAATCCGTCTACGGTTTCCAGGGTCTTTGCGACTTCCTCTACGACTGGGTACAGACCCATCCTGTGTGCATATAATATATCTTATGAGATATTTTCTAATTGTGTGCTATTTAATCGTTCCTGAACGTATTTGAGACTTACAAGGTGCAGACTCTCAGGCAGGGAAATAGGTGAGAGGATAATAGGCTCCTCTGCTCTCACACGAACCCCAGGGAGGCTTACTAAGGGGTCGAAGCCCGGTTGTACGACGATACAGCAACGTTGGCCACCGTGTATGGCGTGCCATTGTATTGTCAACCCGAGTAAAAGTGGTAGTGCTGAACTATAAAGGGTTCCCCCGAAATGGACTTCTATGATGAGTGTGGAGGGTAGGGTCACATATATAAGCTTCAAATGGGAATTGGGGGTGTAAAACCTTAATTAATTATTTTTGATTGAAACAAACATGTTGCTCGTTCGATCTGGGGTTAGCGGGACACCTACATCAGGCCCCGGAATGAAAACCCCGAGAGAGGTACCGTTATTCCTAATTTCGGAGACATAGCCATCTTTGTTTAAAGAGATATAAGGTGCGGTGAGGGTCATGTTGATCAACCATTTGGGCTCCCTAAGGACGTCTGCCAGAGGCTGCCGCACGTACACGCCGTTTCTTAAGCGTAGGACGTACGAGGTGTCTTCGTCGCCAGGCTGATCGAACCCCTCTATGCCTCTTAGACCCACGAGTGTGATGTTTGGTAAATGATCGGCCATTTCCGCCCGCCTATACACGTTATCTTTTAAGCGTAGGACGTACAAGGTGTCTTCCTCGCCGGGCTGATCGAATCCCTCTATGCCTCCTAGACCCCCGAGTGTGATTTTGGGTAGATGATCGGCCATTGCCGCCCGCCTATACACGTTATCTTTCAAGTGTAGGACGTACAAGGCATCTTCCTCGCTGGGCAGATCGAACCCCTCCATGTCTCCTAGATCGTTAAGTGTGGCGTTGGGTCGATGACAATTGGGCATTGCTATAATACTATTACGAGATAGTTTCCAATTGTTTTTCTGATAATTTCTCAGGGGTGCACTTCACCCCCATGAAGTGTATGTTGTTGGGTAGGAAGATCTTGGTGAGTGATATCGTGTCTTCCACGGTCACGGTGACCCCCTGCAGACTGGTGTGGGAGTAGACACCCACCCGCACGTAAACAGTGCAAACCTGATACTAGTGCCGTTTCACCCACCAGAGTTTGATCCCCTTCACGATTTCGACTTCATCCGGGGATGGTTCCCCTAGGTAGACTTTGATGACCAGCGTGGAGTTCGCCGGTAGGCTCGCCAGGATGTTGACCACGCCAACGAATTCAGACACCAACTGCAATGCCCCGTCTTGCACTCCCGGTTTACTCGATAGCATGTGGGCTGCCATACTGGCGACTGGGCTGATGATTACGCTACGTCTCTGCGCCGGGACATAAGCCACGAGCAGGGTTCCGTTGTTCACGACTTTGTTTAGGTAGTTGTCTTTGTTCTCTGTGAACACGTAGGGGAGCCGAGCCTAATATTGAGAAACCAATCGTGAAAGGGTAACAACACCCACTTGTCATCGTCGGTGAAGACGAGCGTATATGGCTTGTTTCTGGCGACGGTCGTTATCTCAACATCTTCTTTGTCGAACAGTTTGCCTCCGAACGATGGGTATACCATCCATTTATCATCACCGGTGCGGACTAGGGTGTACCGAGTGTTGACGGTCGCTCCTAAGGTATCTACTATATCACCTAGGGTTCTACCGGATGGGACTTCAACGCGTTTGTAAATGTTGTTTTTCAGTTGCAAGACATACAATTTACCATCTATTCCGGGGTCATCGAATCCACGTGTGTCCCCGAGGTTGGAGATCCCCGCATTGACGCTTTTTTCAACCTCATTCCGGGACCTTGTATAGTCATTTTATGTGCAGCGTTATGCTGAGGTATCCTATATTCACAGGATTATGATTTATATCTAACACCGATATTACCAGCCCAGGGATGTTGCCCCGAGTTAACCTCTAATACTACCGTCGTTGTATTTCTCCGTTTTCACCGGTACGCCTCTCAGTATTGTGGAAGGATGGCCACGTTGAATGTTGTCCGTTGTGCTCAGCTGACCGAGATGAACGCACTGCTCTCGGTACGGTACTAGGTCTGGTAACTTCGTGCCTGTGACGGTAGTTGTTGGTTTTATCTGATCAGGCGGCATACCGAGTGTCCTCGCCAATGGCCGGCCGAGCCTCAAGGGGTTTATTCCGTTGTTGATTAACACCACTGTGCCATTTGAATCGTTCATCTTGAGTTTGGCCCCCAAGGGTTTGAAGACCTTTTCGCTTAGCGAGCACACGCTGTAGTAGCCGTTGGTTATCTGGTTGCGGGCGCCACTGACGAACAGCTTGTTGTTGTTGAAGTTGGTGTTAGTCTTTTTTCATGATATCGACCCCCGGGTGAGCCTTCAATCGTAGCGTGCGCTTCTTATCGACGGTAAACTTGGCATAGTCTCGTACCAACGGCTTGATGTTGTCCCTAATTTCAACTGCATTGTAATAATCGTCGACGGCCAGCTGTACAAGTTCAGCACTTAAGGGGTTGTTCATGAATGTGGTGTCATCGTAACCCACATCAGCACCAGCACCCATATCATCCATCGGGATGTCCTCATGGACGCCTTCAGCCATTATTTATATTAAACTTTTATATTTTATCTATATAACAATGTATGGTAGGAAACTAGATCCTTTCCGAAGATCAAGAGAGCCTCCAGGCGTCAGAGCCTCGCGCCAGTCGGTGACCATCACCAACAATCCCAGCAAGATAGACCAGAACCAAACGCTGCTGGTTAGATTCCCAAACCTGGGTGAGAAGGACCTCATCGTACCAGGCACGGTTCGACTGACGTTCAACCTCACGTTGACTTCCGACAATGACAAACGCGAGCTAGTGCGGAACGTAGGTCGAGCCATCATCAAGAAAACCACTATCAAGATCAGCGGTAACGAGGTGCTGAGCATCGACGACAGCGACGTCTTTCACTGCTACGGGGACCTCTGGAAAAGCGAGGGAGAACGCGTCAATGACGTGTACCAAGGTATCAGCAAATCGACTTGGTTGCGCGTGGGGTACGGCTTCATGGCAGACCAACTAGACAAGATCTCGAACGGTGAAAAGGCCATCGCCCAAGCGTACGGGAACAGGTTCTGCGTGCCGCTCGACTTCGAGTTGCTCACGGGACACGTGCCGTTTTACCAGGCTGCGCTGGGTGATAGGCTTGAATACGAGCACACGTTTAACGACTACCGCAAAGTCGTGCGTACGCCGAACGGTGATGAGGCCAGTTACACCATCAACAACATCTCTCTGGAGTTCGACATGGTCACTGGCCCGGAGCTGGCCAGGCAGGTTCGAAACCAGTACTCGGGGAAGGTGGCCATCCTGTATGATAGGGTACTGAGGCATAGAGCGGTCGTGCGGGATAAGAGCGACACGCTGTGGAACATCAACCTAAACATGCCAGCGCGATCGATGAAAGGTATCCTGATCGTCCCCGTGGAGGATTATGAGCCGTTCCGAAGGGACAGCGAGAAGTTTTTCAACCCTGCAATTGAAAAGGTGGAAGTGACCATCGAGGGCGTGCCCAACCAGCTGTTCAGCGCTGGTATGAGGGCACACCAGCAGTGGGACGAGATAATGAAACTACCGACCTGGCACCAACACGTCATCAAGGACCTGGACCTACCCACCGTGCAGATCGGTGAATACCTGACCACCAACTATGCGCTGTGGTTGGACATGCGATCCACGGACAACAATAAATTGCATGGTAGTGGGCGTCGCATTGATAATGGCAGCGAGGGGATAACCATCCAGATTACCAAGAAGGCTCAACCCACGGGCAAGTTGAAATTATATCTGTACGTTATTATGGACGCGCAACTTAATATAGAGAATGGGAGATTCGTGCAAGCCATCTATTGATTTGCCTGGCGGCAAGCCATCTATTGATTTACCCGTGACCCGCACTGCGCCATAGTGTGCGGACAGACTGGTTGTGGGAAGACCGTTTTCATGCTGGATATGTTGGAGTGGTACTACCGGGATGTGTTTGACAACATCGTTATCATGTGCCCTACTTTGCACATGAATAGAACGTACACGGAAAGACCTTGGGTGATGACGGACCCGGACGTACACAGAGTCGACCCGGGAACACGTCTGCAGGAATGGTTGAAAGCTTATCACAACAAATTCAAGGGGGAGTCGACGCTGTTCATACTGGATGACTGCAGCGCTATCAGACTATGCTATAATACCTGGCCTTCTCCGGCCGGCACGCAAAGCACAGCGTCTGGGTACTAACGCAGAAGTTCAACTCGGTGTTGAAAGACCTCAGGGAGCAGACACGATGGGTGGCCTTATTCCACTGCAAGGACAGGGATTCGTTCGAGGAGTGTTTGAGAGAGAACGATGTGATGAATAAACATGATAGGGAATCGGTGAAGAAACAGCTCGCTGAAACTAAACATGCTAAGCTCGTGCTCAAGACCGACCAACCTGTGGTCTATAGGGTGTTACCACAGCCCGAATCCCCACGTGCAGGCGTCCAATCAGTAGCATATCGACCGTAAAACAGCGGTGGTGGTCGGGGGATCGCGGTTGGACTGGGTCTCATTTGGTTAAAAATTCCTTAGCCGCTACGTACACCAGACCCGCCACGGCGATGATGGCTGCCCACAGGTTTTGACCGAGCCACGTGACGGTTTTAGCCAGCGTGCTGAGCAGCCACGAGACGATGCTACCCAGGATGCCGGGCAGGGCTTCAGCGGCCTTACCAGCGAGTTTAGCCAGGGCCTCCCCGAGGGATTTCAGGTGTTTTTTTATCCAGTCTCTGACGCCACCAGTGGGTGTACCACCTGGTGTACCACTGCCGCTGGCAGGCATCAGCGACACGACCAGTGTTGATATGATGAAGCCCAATGCAGTCAGAATGTTGGCGATAGTAATCCCTTGCTCTTGGAATGAGGATTCGGATCCTGTTGGCCAACGTGGTGTCTTCATTTAGGACTCGATCGATGGTTTCCCGCACGCGGCTGATCTTGGATTGAAGCTGTTTCCAGAAGCGGATTCCAACCGAGTCCGTCTATCATCTTGTAAGCCACGCTGCCGTTTCTCGATACGGCGCTTCATATCCTCGTCCTCGGTGAGTTTTACTTTCTCGCGAGCGATGTGCTCATCGAGTTCGTTCAGTTTCCCCATGTTGTTCACGAGTTCTCCGCGTACACGTTTCAAGGCTTCGTCTAGGCCTCGCAGTTCTCGAACAGGAAATTCGAAACCAGGCAAGGGTTTGTCATGGTACGTGGCCAATATTTTTTCGATACTGTCTGATGTTTCTTTAGCACGTTGGGGTACATCCCCGGTATTGCTGAGTTCGGTCCTGGCTGCTTGCAGATCTTGGACGACCTTCGGGGGAAGCTTAGGTCATGCGCCACCGTAATCTATGAAGCCTAGTTCCTCACGGATCAGTTGACTTCCACCAGGGCGACCGGTGAGTGTTGACAAAGCATACGGCCCTTTCTCGTCTTTTTTCATGATATCGACCCCCGGGTGAGCCTTCAATCGTAGCGTGCGCTTCTTATCGACGGTAAACTTGGCATAGTCTCGTACCAACGGCTTGATGTTGTCCCTAATTTCAACTGCATTGTAATAATCGTCGACGGCCGGCTGTACAAGTTCAGCACTTAAGGGGTTGTTCGTGAATGTGGTGTCATCGTAACCCACATCAGCACCAGCACCTATATCATCCATCGGGATGTCCTCATGGACGCCTTCAGCCATTATTTATATTAAACTTTTATATTTTATCTATATAACAATGTATGGTAGGAAACTAGATCCTTTCCGAAGATCAAGAGAGCCTCCAGGCGTCAGAGCCTCGCGCCAGTCGGTGACCATCACCAACAATCCCAGCAAGATAGACCAGAACCAAACGCTGCTGGTTAGATTCCCAAACCTGGGTGAGAAGGACCTCATCGTACCAGGCACGGTTCGACTGACGTTCAACCTCACGTTGACTTCCGACAATGACAAACGCGAGCTAGTGCGGAACGTAGGTCGAGCCATCATCAAGAAAACCACTATCAAGATCAGCGGTAACGAGGTGCTGAGCATCGACGACAGCGACGTCTTTCACTGCTACGGGGACCTCTGGAAAAGCGAGGGAGAACGGCGTCAATGACGGTACCAAGGTATCAGCAAATCGACTTGGTTGCGTGCGGAGTGCGGCTTCATGGCAGACCAACTAGACAAGATCTCGAACGGTGAAAAGGCCATCGCCCAAGTGTACAGGAACAGGTTCTGCGTGCCGCTCGACTTCGAGTTGCTCACGGGACACGCGCCGTTTTACCAGGCTGCGCTGGGTGATAGGCTTGAATACGAGCACACGTTTAACGACTACCGCAAAGTCGTGCGTACGCCGAACGGTGATGAGGCCAGTTACACCATCAACAACATCTCTCTGGAGTTCGACATGGTCACTGGCCCGGAGCTGGCCAGGCAGGTTCGAAACCAGTACTCGGGGAAGGTGGCCAACCTGTATGATAGGGTACTGAGGCAAAGAGCGGTCGTGGGGGATAAGAGCGACACGCTGTGGAACATCAACCTAAACGTGCCAGCGCGATCGATGAAAGGTATCCTGATCGTCCCCGTGGAGGATTATGAGCCGTTCCGAAGGGACAGCGAGAAGTTTTTCAATCCTGCAATTGAAAAAGTGGAAGTGACCATCGAGGGCGTGCCCAACCAGCTGTTCAGCGCTGGTATGAGGGCACACCAGCAGTGGGACGAGATAATGAAACTACCGACCTGGCACCAACACGTCATCAAGGACCTGGACCTACCCACCGTGCAGATCGGTGAATACCTGACCACCAACTATGCGCTGTGGTTGGACATGCGATCCACGGACAACGATAAATTGCATGGTAGTGGGCGTCGCATTGATAATGGCAGCGAGGGGATAACCATCCAGATTACCAAGAAGGCTCAACCCACGGGCAAGTTGAAATTATATCTGTACGTTATTATGGACGCGCAACTTAATATAGAGAATGGGAGATTCGTGCAAGCCATCTATTGATTTGCCTGGCGGCAAGCCATCTATTGATTTACCCGTGACCCGCACTGCGCCATAGTGTGCGGACAGACTGGTTGTGGGAAGACCGTTTTCATGCTGGATATGTTGGAGGGGTACTACCGGGATGTGTTTGATAACATCGTTATCATGTGCCCTACTTTGCACATGAATAGAACGTACACGGAAAGACCTTGGGTGATGACGGACCCGGACGTACACAGAGTCGACCCGGGAACACGTCTGCAGGAATGGTTGAAAGCTTATCACAACAAATTCAAGGGGGAGTCGACGCTGTTCATACTGGATGACTGCAGCGCTATCAGACTATGCTATAATACCTGGCCTTCTCCGGCCGGCACGCAAAGCACAGCGTCTGGGTACTAACGCAGAAGTTCAACTCGGTGTTGAAAGACCTCAGGGAGCAGACACGATGGGTGGCCTTATTCCACTGCAAGGACAGGGATTCGTTCGAGGAGTGTTTGAGAGAGAACGATGTGATGAATAAACATGATAGGGAATCGGTGAAGAAACAGCTCGCTGAAACTAAACATGCTAAGCTCGTGCTCAAGACCGACCAACCTGTGGTCTATAGGGTGTTTTAGTGAGCAAATGCTTAGCAAAGTTTAGCCATGCTTAGCAAATGCTTAGCAAAGCTTAGCGTTTAGCACTTAGCAGTTATAGTTATAGTTATGGTTGTTTTTGAAGTGCTCGTCGTGTGCAACTTAACTTTCATTTCGCTGTGTTTCACCTGCATCGGGTATTATATTATTAAAACTAAAACTTGCTTATTACATTATAAGATGGAGCGTGATGAATTGCTAGAACAACTGTTGGTGGAGGGGGATAAGCGAGGGGACGATGACAAGACTGAGAGACTGGTAGCGTTGGCTGTTGGTGGTAAAGCCAAACAATACTTTGGGGACTACACTCCCGATAAAATTCACAAAATGTCAACCGAAGAAATTGATAAGCTGTACGCGAGATACGAGACTAGGCTCGTGGCCGAGATGACAAAGACTATAGGATCGGCTATGACCCAGATCTACACTGGTCTAGTGTCGTACTTCGTTCCCATTCCCCAGGAACGTCGACTTTACCTGTGGGAGCCTTGAGCCTGTATGAGCTGCGTGCTGTACCACAAATACGGTATGTTTTTACCCCGGTGACGGCGGCGATTATCACAGCAAAGCATTGCCAATTTAAGGAGGGGAAAAATAATCATAATAGTATACAAGATAGATGCTGCCCAAGAAGTGACAAAGGAGGTTAACCCTCCAGAGGAAACCCCACCCCAGGAGGGAAACCCTCCACAGGAGGTGAATCCTACAGTCGCCAGGCAGAAGAACCCTAAGAGAGTAGCTGCCGGTAAAAAAGGTGGTCTAACCAACATAAAAGTAACTACACGTGGAGCCAGGCTCCACTCCTGTGGATTGCAGGCGCAACTGCTGCCGTGGCTCTCTCATTATTGTTATATAATAAACAACCACCCCGGGAGGGTATCCCTCCCCCCACAATTAGAGGTCAACCCACATATCATGTTATAAATATATATTTTTATATCATATACATAATGTCTGAGGGTAAAACGTTCGTCAACGATGCATACCACGCCACCGTGGTCGCCAGTCTAGCCATAGGGTACGCTCGGTTGACCAAAATGGTGCTTAAACAACCGACTATCAAGCTAGATTTCAACCTGCAGGATATGGGTATGCTCATAATGAACCTTGGCATGGTGATGGCCACCAAGGACATCCTAGTAAAACAAGGGATCCTACCGGAAAATATTTTGAAGTAAATGTAACTATATATAGGATGGCTACGATCGCCATGATTGTCAGCGGGGCGTTAGTAAACGCCCTGGCATTTTCCGGGAGTAATTTCCTCTTCTCGAAACTATGGGAGTCGAACGCGGCCGAGATACAAGCTGAACGGAAGCGCCACGACCTGGCATTTGAGAAATTTCAAGCAGCGCAAGCCGCGTACGCGAAGACACGTGTACAGAGGATCGATTAAATTAACGAACAACTCCATCGTGAGAACCATGCCGTTAAAACATTCCATGATGTCGAAGCCGGAGCGAGAGAATTATACCTGCTAACCGGTAAACAGCTAGAACCACTCCATAAGCCCCCACTCGCTCAGTACTGCAAACCATCCCCGGGGCAAAAAGACATTTATGGTTGCAAAACAATTGGACTAAGTACTCATATAAGTATACCAAAGATGAGACCCGCCCCGTACCGATGCCAATACATACTTATGGGGAAGACTGAGGCTTGCGGTAGGAGATGCAGGACTGAGGGGTACTGTTCTGTGTGTGGTGTTGGGGTGAAAGGTCACTACTGCCTATGCAAAGCTCACGGAGCAAACATAGTCAGACATCATCTTATCTACGAGAAGAAAAAAGACTACAGAAAAGAACGTAGGCGCCTCCTCAGGATAGAGGTGTAATTAGAGATTATTTACAAGTATAAAAATAATGAATAGCTGGCGAATTGAACATGTATCTATTACTGATGCCAAGCCTCTTATCATTAACAAACTCGGAAAATTGGGACATATCAACTGTCAAATGATGATTGTTGTAAATCAGGATGTCTTCAGAGAGTATAGTTTGACTGAATCAGTTGATTTACATTCATATCAGCGACATTCTGGAAATAATAAAACGGGAATACGACACTTAGCCAATAATCGATACGGTTATTATTGGTGATTAAATTGTTTGAGTTACCTTCCCGGCGGCCCAATTAGAGATTGATCTAGTTATGATATAGCCTTCAACGTCTTTGGGCACGAAGGAAACAAAACGATCGTGCACAGGGTCAGTCTAATGTTGGGTCGCCGCGTGATCAATATATTCATGATCAGGCGAGGTGCAGACATGAACTTGAGGGGGCTGCTTTACAGTGCTTTGTAAACAAGTTGTTTTGTAGCGTTCATAGCTGAAACGTCGAACTCTCAAGCGTCTTCGGTTACTGAAACAACGGAAAATGGATTCATCAGAAAATAATATTTTGTTCCACTGCAGCAGCCGAAAATGTTTGACCCGTTTAGACCATGAAAATCGCTGTTTTCTTTGCTTCTTATTGAGAAGAGGTTTTCTGGCAGGGACGAAACATTTTTACCCACATTTTTGTAGTCTACGAGAGATAATCATCAGACGAACCTGTTTACTCACTGATTGCTTTAGTCGACCATGAATAATGTTCAGTGTAGCATATCTATCCTGATTATTCGGTCTTCACGTCTTGAAATACACCGAGGTCTGCCTGACCTTGGCAAATCTTTAATACGGCCAGATTCTTTGTATTTCTTACAACTTGATCATACCTCTAACTAGGGGTGGGTATTGCAGAGAATTTTCATATTGCGATATATTGCGATGCGGAAGCATATATTGCCATCTGTATTGCAATATATTGCAAGGATTATTTTTTTAACAAAAAATACTTATAATCGAGTTAATGCTTGATTATAAAGCAAAAACACAACAAAATCACTATGATTAACCTTTTATAAAAACTTTTAATCATGACAAAATAAAAATGTAAGTAGCATTTGGCACTAATGAAACAGGGAAAAGAACAATTCAAAAAACGGAAATATCCGAAGATTTCCAACTGTTACAAATTTTTCCGAATGCATGTCAAAATACCAGTTTTCGATCAGCGTATCGCAATACGTATCGTTTTCATGTCTGAACCGGTAAATACCCGTAAACCGGCTATATTGCGCAGCCCTACCTCTAACTGAGACATCACTCTTGTATTATCTCGCCATAAACTTCTGAATGGTACTCCATGTATTCCCTGCATCCCTCAATGTCACAAGCTTACTCCGTTCCATGTTTGTCCAGTTTCTGTTCTTTGCCTGATCCATTCTGTAAACAAATCACGATAGTTTATTATCGAGACAATGTGTTTTACCAAATGTTTCTAAACGAAGACATAAAGCTTCCCAGAAACGAAAAAATATACTTTTAAACAGAAGAGTTCAGATTTCTACCAGAGAAGACTTTAAACTCCTAAATATGATGTAATGAAATTTGTAACTGTTCTTTCTTTCTCTAACAGTATAGTTTAAGTATGTCCTAACAAATGTTGATTACATAATTTAAGAATAATAACGAAATAATAGTATAACTCACCTTTCTGTCTTGATGATCGCAGCTCCTGAATTTCATCCTCGGATACCGATGCTGTAACAAAGGCGTGACTAAGCTGTTTAAACGCACAACAATGATGCGAAAACACAACTTGAGCTCATTTGCATACGTAATTTACGAATAGGATTTACAAACAGACACTGGAATTCAATTAAAAGCAGTCGCCTAGGCTTTTTGACACGCTCTTGATGAGATATGGTGTCAAAAGTCATACACGCATAGACGACACAAGGCGATTGAAGAAAGCTTGGGGAATGTTGTGCCATGTCTGAACCAATGCTTTTCCCAATTCAGCTAACGTCAATGGTTTATTCTGGGCTTGACGTAAACGTATCTCCATTTCATCCCAAGCGTGCTCGATTTCCTTCATGTAAGCCGTGCATGACGTACGCACAGTTTAGGTTGAAATTAACGTGTTTCCACAACATTCAGTGGCTCGATTCACATTTCTTCAACTTTCAATATCAGGTGTGTGAACTTCAGGTGTCAAAAAGCATACAAAAAGTGAGTACGGTCATTGTGCACAAAGTGGCATCAAATGCCACGCAAAGTGCTTTTCTACATGTTTATTTTACGGTTACTTTTATAACTTCTATATTATTTTTATAATTTTATATTATGTACAGTTACTTTTTTCCGTTAGTATATGTAAAACTTCGGGCTCGGTGATTATTCGGTCTATTTTAAAATCGAAGAAATATTGACAGATGATATTACAGAAATCATACCATTTAGCGTATATACATGTAACAATTGTAACACTTGATTGGCTAATAATACTGTGTTGTCACTTCAGTTTGGACTGCACTTTGAAACTTGTCACGTTTAGATTTAAAGTGAAATGTTGACCACTAAAGAGCACCAGTTCAGCAGTTGCTTTAAGTAAACTAAACATGTTTAATAAGGCTTTTGGAAGTGGCCAAATGTAACATACATGTATGTCATATTGGGATTACACTTGAACCATTTGACCACTTTCTAAATGGAATTGCGTATGCTTAGCTTTCGGTCGTGGGAGCCGTGCTAGTTTACACGTATCAGAGGAGAACACAAAGTACCTGATCTAGACTACCAGTTGCCCGACTTCCATATGTCGTGGAAGCCCAGGTGGCTGACTTTGTGTCTGACGGCGTGGGTTCGAATCCCGGGTGGAACTAAACCTAACAAAACTACTCGCCTCTTTCCGTGACCTACAAGAAGACTCGTACCCCTATCGTACGCCATTATTGCCAAGAATCGTGGCAAACCAATCAAATCGCGCGTAGTAAAACGCATTTCGAAGCATGAAAATGGCGGCACCGTTGAAGTTTGAAACTTCGCTAAACTATGCAAAGCACAATTTAAACATAAACTTTGAGCTAAAGGATCAGAAACTTTAAACACTGAAACATATTTACAAAGGGAATGACTGTATTGCTGTTTTGCCCACGGGATATAGGATATTCTAGGAGCCATGTTTGGAAATTCAGAGTTATCTTTCCTTGGTAATAGTACTAGACTATTTTCATCTCCATGCCCGTTTGCGCTTAGACAGGGCCCAGTCGTAAACATGGCCACGAGAGGGGTACGAGACGCCATCCGGCTTGCCGGAATGACACGAGTACCTACGAACAATTTTTGGCCTCGTGGGACGACATCCTGCTATGTTTTGTTCTTCATTATGCGGAAGCTTAACATCCATACATTCTCTCTCTTGTGGGTATCACTTCTAACTGTCACTCAAAGACTTGATGGAATAGATTGGTCATTAGCGATGTATCCCTCTTACGTCAACAGACATCCACATACATATATGGAACACTACCTATGAGTCCTGTCACCGAAATACATTGATCGGTTATATATGATTTTGAGTTTTGAAGGATTTTGTTTGTGGGATACATAGCAAAAGATTTTACGGGCTCCTCCGATTGTGAGCGATCTAGCATTGGACAGAGTCATTTATGTACTGCAGCGACAGTGGGTGAGTGAGTGAGTTTAGCTTTACGCCACTTTTTGCCATATTCCAGTAGAAACGTAATTTCTTTGATAGCGTTATAGGCTGTCCTTCACTTTTTTTCACTTAAAGGCAATGTAAACATTTAAGTATTCGGCGTAAAATGCCTAATTGTTGTGTATATCAATATTATCTTTGAACGTGTAATACACTATGAGTTGTTCACTGATCACGAGGGGGACATGGGTTGATGTACTCTCTATGTTTATTTAAGGGAACGTAAACAAACATCGAGGGTACATCAACCCGAGGCACCAGTGAACAACGTACTTATCTTACCGAACATCTCAATGTTAATTTTGAACTGTTTGAAGCACTGCCATCGGATCATAAGAAGGAGTACCAGAGTTAGGCAAATAGACTAAACTAGATTTTCAGATGACATAGAATCTAGCAGACGACAAGAAAAACAAATTTAGAGTTATCTCATCGTAATTGAGATGTTAAAACATCAGTAATTTCCGTACATCATGCGTGACTCAGTTATTCGAGAAAAAGAATTACTAACACGAAGTATCAAATGAGTTCGGTATTCCCAGCGGGCAACATGGGGAATGTTACTCGCTTGTAAGCGGGGTAGATTAAAAATAATAGAAGAGCGCTCAGTCAATCAGAAAACGACATTTATGCTTGAGGTAAGATGAAATATACTGTCCATGATCAGAAACCCTTCTGGGTGTGCACTGAAAACACAACATATATGTGCTCCGTGTATGTCAAGTGGTATAGCGTAATTTTTCCAAACTTGAAACGTTATCTCAATTAGCAATCTCAATCTTAACAAATGAAACTTTATACATTATCACATTTACAACACAGTTATCTCCCTTCGTTTACGCTAAGCTATTTCTGCGGCGATGAGATTCCGTACCGATTGCTTCATACATCTCTATTAACGCGAGTTGCAGCCCTGACACGGCTTACCGCTGTCACAGGGAGTTATGACAGATATATGCTTCAAACATATAGAGTGGTGGCTTCAGTCACAGTCTATGCGGAGAGAGGTGGTTCGAACCCGGTTGCGCTATGCCAAAAGACGTTAAATGACGCCATGGGTTATAATGTCGATGGGCATTAGAGAGATATACCAGCAGGTTTGAAGTCTCATGAGTTGGTTCCTAGTGAAGCCTACAAGCACAGGTGTGGCTCTGCTAAGGGATGGCACTACACTTGTTGAGTTTGCTGGGGAGGTGGAAACTTTGTTTTGATAGGCGGTGTACTTCAGAAGACGTCAGTGGTGATTTTCATCATTTGGGACATTTGGTTTTGCTGTGTGTGTCAGTAGTTACTGCACATTCAAGCGAAGGTAGAATCTGTTACAAAATTCCTTTTCAAAACAAGAAAGGAATTTCTGGTAATGGTTGGTTACTGCCATATATACTCATGCCAATAATGGTTGTCACCACCACTAATATTCTAGCAATATCACGACTGGCGGACACCAGAAATGGGCTTCACACTTTGTACACATATGGGGAATCGAACCACTTCAACCACTAGGCTACCTCTTTTAAGGCACTAAATCACACCACACTTCTCTAAACATAAATAATGCGTTTCTCTCAATAACACAAAATATCAGCCCTCAGGGAAGCTACATAGACTTTAATAATAAAAACACACGTACTTAGATTACAGTATTAAATTAAAAAGTTCATATTAATTAAATGGACTCTCGCGCCCTCTACCGACCGAACATTATTTCAAGCGGAATCCATAGAGTTATGTCCCTTGCAGCGCTCTTTACGAATATCTACGCACAACTTGTGATTGAAACCAGTACAGAGCAATTGTTGGCCCTCCATATATGGCAAGTGTTCTCTGTTTGGAAGCTGTTCGACTAGAAGATTCAATTATTAATTTCAGGCAAATCGTAAGGGTAATAATTATTTTATTGCATCAACAGGAAGCTAAAGTGAGTGCATATGCGAGCAAAATCAGCTTTTAGCAATATTCCAGCAATATCACGGCGGGGTACACGAGAAATGGGCTTGACACATCGTACCCATGTGGGGAATCGAACCAGTGTCTTCGGCGTGACGAGCAAACGCTTTAACCACTGTGCTACCCCACCGCCCGAGTGCATATGCCCCAATATGGATACCAAGGGGTCAATTTTGTCGAAAATCTCTGACATTGTGCCCTTAAGGCAAAGATACCATTATCATTGATGTATTATTACAACAGGGCTGAGGATGTCCTGACTGAGAGTGTCCTGACTGAGTATGCCCTGACTGAGGGTGTCCTAGCTGAGGGTGTCCTAGCTGAGGATGTCCTGACTGAGGATGTTCTGACTGAGAGCGTCCTGACTGAGAGAGTCCTGACTGAGGATGTCCTGACTGAGAGTGTCCTGACTGAGTGTGTCCTGAATGGGGTGTTCTGACTGAGGATGTCCTGACAGAGAGTATCCTGACTTAGGTTGTCCTGACTGAGCGTGTCCTGACTGAGCGTGTCCTGACTGAGGATGTCCTGACTGAGTGTCCTGACTGTGTCCTGACTGAGGGCGTCCTAACTGAGGAAGCCCTGACCGAGAGTGTCCTGACTGAGGATGTCCTGTCTGAGACTGTTCTGAATGAGAGCGTCCTGCCTGAGGATGTCCCGACTGAGAGTGTCCTCACTGAGAGTCTCCTGACTGAGGATGTCCTGAGTAAGCGTCCTGACTGAGAATGTCCTGGCTGTGCATGCCCTGACTGAGGGTGTCCTAACTGAGGGTGTCCTGACTGAGGACTTCCTGACTGAGGATGCCCTGACTGAGAGCGTCCTGACTAAGGATGCCGTTACTGAGGGTGTCCTGACTGAGAGTGTCCCGACTGAGGGTGTCCTGACTGAGGATGTCCTGACTGAGAGTGTCCTGACTGAGCATGTCCCGACTGAGGATGCCGTTACTGAGAGTGAACTGACTGAGAGCGTCCTGCCTGAGGATATCCTGACAGAGAGTATCGTCACTGAGAGTGTCCTGACTGAGAGTGCTTCACTGAGAGCGTCCTAGCTGAGGGTGTCCTAGCTGAGGGTGTCCTGACTGAGGATGTCCTGACTGAGGGTGTCCTGACTGAGAGTGTCCTGACTGAAGATGTACTAACTGAGAGTCTCCTGACTCAGAGCGTCCTGGCTGAGGATGTCCTGACTGAGGATGTTCTGACTGAGAGTGTCCTGACTGAGAGAGTCCTGACTGAGGATGTCCTGACTGAGGATGTCCTGACTGAGAGTGTCCTGACTGAGAGAGTCCTGACTGAGGATGTCCTGACTGAGAGTGTCCTGACTGAGTGTGTCCTGAATGAGGGTGTTCTGACTGAGGATGTCCTGACAGAGAGTATCCTGACTTAGGTTGTCCTGACTGAGCGTGTCCTGACTGAGCGTGTCCTGACTGAGGATGTCCTGTCTGAGACTGTTCTGAATGAGAGCGTCCTGCCTGAGGATGTCCCGACTGAGAGTGTCCTCACTGAGAGTCTCCTGACTGAGGATGTCCTGAGTAAGCGTCCTGACTGAGAATGTCCTGGCTCTGCATGCCCTGACTGAGGGTGTCCTAACTGAGGGTGTCCTGACTGAGGACTTCCTGACTGAGGATGCCCTGACTGAGAGCGTCCTGACTGAGAGTTTCCTGACTGAGAGTGTCCTGACTGAGGGTGTCCTGACTGAGGATGTCCTGACTGAGAGTGTCCTGACTGAGCATGTCCCGACTGAGGATGCCGTTACTGAGGGTGTCCTGACTGAGAGAGTCCTGAGTGAGAGTGTCCTGACTGAGAGTGAACTGACTGAGAGCGTCCTGCCTGAGGATATCCTGACTGAGAGCGTCCTGACTGAGAGCGTCCTGACTGAGGGTGTACTGACTGAGGATATCCTGACTGGGTGTCCTGACTGAGGTTGCCCTGACTGAGGGTGTGCTGACTGAGGATGTCCTGACTGAGAGTGTCCTGACTAAGGGTGTCCTGACTGAGGATATCCTGACTGAGAGCGTCCTGATTGAGGATGTCCTAACTGAGAGTGTCCTGACTGAGAGCGTCCTGACTGAGGGTGTACTGACTGAACGTGTTTCACTGAGAGCGTCCTGACTGAGGATGTCCTAATTGAGAGCGTCCTGACTGAGAGTGTCCTGACTGAGGGTGTCCTGACTGAGGGTGTCTGACTGAGGGTGTGAGGATGAACTGACTGGGTGTCCTGACTGAAGGTGTCCTGACAAAGGATGTCCTTACTGAGTGTTTCCTGACTGATGGTGTCCTGACTCAGAGTGCCCTGACTGAGAGTGTACTAACTGAGGGTGTCCTAACTAAGGATGCCCTTACTGAGGATCTCCTGACTGAGAGCGTCTTGACTGAGGGTGTCCTGACTGAGTGTGTCCTGACTGAGGATGTCCTGTCGAAGCTTCCTGTGTCTGAGGGTGTCCTGACTGAGACTGTTCTGAATGAGAGCGTCCTGCCTGAGGATGTCCTGACTGAGAGAATCCTGACTGAGAGTGTCCTGACTGAGGATGTCCCGACTGAGAGTGTCCTGACTGAGAGTGTCCAGACTGAGGATGTCCTGAGTAAGCGTCCTGACTGAGGATGTCCTGGCTAAGGATGTCCTGACTGAGTATGTCCTGACTGAGGATGCCCCTACTGAGGGTGTGCTGACTGAGAGTGTCCTAACTGATGGTGTCTTCTCTGAATGTGTCCTGAATGAGGGTGTCCTGACTAAAGATGTCCTGACTGAGAGTGTCCTGACTAAGTATGTCCTGACTGAGAGCGTCCTGACTGAGAGAGTCCTGACTGAAGATGTCCTGACTGAGGATGCCCTTACTGAGGGTGTCCTGACTGAGAGTGTCTTGTCTGAGGGTGTCCTGACTGAGGATGTCCTGACTGAGTGGACCGCCTCCGTGGTGTAGTGGTTAGAGCGTCCGCCCGGAGAGCGGAAGGTCGCGGGTTTGATCCCTGACCGCGTCATACCAAAAGACGTTAAAATATGGTACTTGTTGGTCCCTGCCTGGCGCTCGGCATTAATGGGTACAACAAGGACTGGTCGGCTCGGAGTCAGTATAATGTGTCTAAGTGGGGTATCCATGATTCACTGCGGCATGGTATCTCAGTGGGCTAGCACTATAAAACCAGCTTAAGCCTGGGCTAGTACAAGCAGCCGCAACACACATACACACGCATGCACGTCGTCATACGAGCGAAATATTCTCAAGCACGACGTTAAATCCAATTTCACCTCACCTCACCTCACCTGACTGAGTGTCCTGACTGAGGATGCCCTGACTCAGGGTGTCCTAACTCAGTGTATCCTGACTGAGGACTTCTTGACTGAGGATGCCCTGACTGAGAACGTCCTGACTGAGTGTGTCCAGACTGAGGATGGCCTGTCTGAGGGTGCTCTGTCTGAGAGAGTCCTGACTGAGAGCGTCCTGACTAAGGGTGTCCTGACTGAGGGTGTCTCTTGTCCTGCCTAAGGGGGGCGTAACTAAGGGGGTCCTGGCTGAGGGGGTCATCACTAAGGATGTCCTGACTGAGGGGGTCCTGACTAGGGTTATCAGGACTGAGGATGTCCTGACTCAAGGTGTCTTGAATAAGGGAGGGCTGAAAGAGGATTTCTTCCTTCCTGCAGATATGATTTGAATTTTGTGTCAACTTTTTAATCTCTGAGAATTAAAAATGTTGATCTTTTCATGGACAATTATAAAATATTGTAATATTAATGTTCAAAATGTAACTAAAATCACGCAATAATGTCGCGAAAATAGGTATCGTGATATGTATCGAATCATGACATGGGTATCGTGATACGTATCGATTCATAAAACTCATGTATCGTGACATCCCTAGTTAATATCCTAATGCAGGATATTAACCATCCCAAACCACACGAGTGTGATAACCTATTTATCATACACAGTGTCATTCTTACTTTATAATTAAGAAAATGCGATTTCAATTGCCAGAAATCATGAAATTAAACTTCATGGAATGTGCATAGGTATCTATGACGTCACAAATATGCGCGTAGTAATACGTTACACAAGTTTCTTCTGATCACTCAATTGACTGCGTCATCTAGTTCTCAGAAAGTTTTTATGTTAAAGCACGTATTGTTGTCAACACATCTCAGCTTACGTTTGAAAAATAACAACACCTTGTGTGGAACTTAAAGGTCACATGCAACCCAAAAATCAAACATAATTAAAACACAATTATCACTTCTTCATGACATATAATATGCATTGCTGATTATGAAAAAACAAATAAACAAAATTATAAGCGTACAATCGCAAATCAAAAGTGCAATATTTTGTACTTGGGTTTACCTCCCTCAAAACGAAGCAGCCGGGATACCGAACCCAGTAAGAGCGGGTGGGTGTGCACTCAAGTGTAACGGCTGGTTCATTAGCAGATGCCGCCTTCACGGCTCGTGTGTGTATATATAGAAAGTTGGGTTTTGTAAATACATGCTCATTTTTTGTGTATAACATTTTGCAATCAACAGTCATCATAACATGTCATGTGTTTAAGTATCACACCTGCCTGTCTGTGTAATTACATAATGTGACAGAGACCGAACTCGGGCCATAAATCAATGCGTTTTGTTTATGGTGTATAGCCTGATTGGTGTTAAGTTCAAATTGCATGTGGTCAGTGATCGCAGTTGTGTATTGAATATTGTCATTAGCAGACAGGCAGGCAGACACACAGGTGTCAATAAAACAAGACATTGAGTTTTGTCTGTGACAGCGACATATCTATATCACAGTTAGAAATTGTGTCAACTCTAAATAAGTGACTCGGTAAGAAGAACGTGTGGTGAAATAGACAAATGAAATTATATAAACAGTTTATTTACTGTCATAACATACAAAAAGCTCGCGCCTGTGAGATATCAACAAAACATTAGAAAAATGGCTCACACCAAAGCCTTCACCGAGTATTCACCAGACAGCCCGCTTCCAAGTTGCGCGAACCTATTTCACTGCGCACGTGCTATGAGCGCAGCCTAGCTGTTGAAACCCGTATTCCCCAGAAAAGTCTGGGAAAATTAGTGAAACGTTTGAACTCCGATTTCGCGCGGTTTTTTTCATCGCGTTATTTTTCAACTTTATAAGTTGAATTTGCATTTTTGATGCTTTGTTTCGGGAAGTCCATACTGAAAGGTATCAGAATCTGCAAAGTTGTGTTTTACGTTGCTTGTGACCTTTAAGAAACCTTCAATTAAACTGTTAAGCAACAAATGCACTTTAATGTTCGCGTGACACTCTGCACCTGGATTCCTGTGCCGTCGACACGCTGACGCTGACAATCGGTCGGGGAACTGGTGTTGGTAGGTTCGTAAGCCTATGAATTTCTACCTTCGCTTCGTAATCCACTCCATCTATCATAACCAGATATTGAAATTTCTTGGATCAAAGCAATGACGGTACCGTAACCACGGTCGTCAATCCGGACACGATCGCCGACACGCCATGTTTGTTTACAGGGTGAAAGTAGTCCCTACAATTTGCATATGACCTCTCTAAGTTGTATCGATATCCGTATATGACCCCAACGGATACCGAAACTATCCGTTGGTTTTATCCTGCCGAGAACGCTATCCATTGTATGATAAAATAGAAAGATTAATATTCTTGTGTATATAAGAAAGGATTGCTATTGTTTCTCATTTCACAGTACATCTCAGCATTGCATGTAATGATCATACCATGGATACTCTCTGTCTTGCCCTTTCTTCCAACTTGTGTTGCTGTAACTGAACTGAACTTTATTTACACTCCGGCCGCGTTCTGCGGCATTAGAGGTACAAGTTTACAACATAATGTACAACTTAAATACAGGTATGAAACATAAGTGGTCATATATACATATCGCTTGGTTGCAAGAATAAACTGTCTGTACGTACATTTAAGCCAGTTAAATAAACAATGTTACACTCGTGCGCTACTGGTTATCCTTTGTTGGGGCTTGCTTAAAATGAGACAATATTGCAAAATATAGCTAATTTCCTTATTGTTCCTAGCTGGTTCATTTTGTGCATATTTGGATTTCTACAGAAATAGCTGTTAATATATTTTTTCCTTTCTTGGGCCAAAGTAGGGCAAATAAACAAAAAGTGAAATTCATCTCCAATATCGTTTGCATAACAGAGTAGCCTACATATTTCATTTGGGTGATATTTGATCCATCGTCCTGTTTCAATTGGTAGATTTTGGTTTGAAGTTCTGAAATTAAGTAACGCCCTCCGATTATTATAATGTAATAAATTCATATAGCTTTCATATTTCAATTCAGATTTTTTTTAAATATTCTAAATAGCGCCTCTTGAAGATTTTTCTATGTTTGATATCCAGGTCTGTATATTGATTTCTTTCAGTCTTTTAACAACAAGTGCTTTAAGACTATTTTTATTAGGACATGCCTGTGTAGCCCAAATATAGCTCATTCAAATTTTGTCAAAAGTGTCCTTAATACAGGCAAACCATTTATAGCCAGATGTGTTACAAGCTGTATCATTATAGAGTAATTTATAAACTAGGAAAGAAAATTTAGAAGGGTTTTTTTTTCCCCAAAAGAGTAACATACGTGATTTAATTTCAATTTCCAGCGGATATCTTCCCAGTTCCCCATAAACCATGGATGAGGGGGTGCTTTTTCTTAGAGGAGTTCCTTTAGAAATTTTAAATGAATATTTTCTACCCAAGAATTATTACCCAAACCCCATATTTCACACCCGTAAAGAAGGACAAGCAATCGAATAATCGTAACTGACAATCACAAGACAAACTAAGTAATCTGCCTTTGCTTAAAACAAAATACATTGTTTTGGTGGCGTTCTCAGCAAGAGAGGTGAATATCACCATCAGTGGCGTTGTTGCTATAACAACTAATCTTGTAGTAAAGTGCCTTTTCACTGTCATCCCTATTGTTTACTGCCATGGTGAAACCTTTGTAGAGATTTATGTAGATTTCTGAACTCAGTTAATTTGGGAGTGAGTGAATTTGAATTTTTTCTATCACTCCTATTGTGTACTGCCATGGGGACATATTATCATGGTTGTCTGTATTGCTGTAATCACTGCTCTCTTGTTAATACAGTTGTTAATTACAGTATTTTGTGTTGTTTGCTGGTTTCATGCTTTCAACTTGGGAATCAACATGTCACCGTCTTACGTGCGTTGTAATGAAAAGACCTGTCGTGGAGTATTTATTCACTTTGCGAACATGCTCTCACCATAATGTCGGCGTTGAAAGATGCATACGTACAATCCTGACTTTTCTGACTGATTTCCCAGCCACCTCCATGATGGGTGCAGTAAGGGAGACAACTCGATTGTACGAGTATTGCCGCGTCGCTACTGATCACCAATTGTTTTCATGATGTGTGATATTCCAGTGTATAACATAGTTTTGAAATGTGGCCTGTCCAAGGACTGGCTGTCTAAAAGGTTACCAGTCCTGAACAAACACAGCCAGTCCCATAAACTAAAACAACAACAAAAATCAACAAATGTTTATTCGAAAACGAGAAAGAACATGATTGCTAAGACGAAGTTAAGTTTACTTTTTTTCAAATATTTCCCCCGACCAATTTGCAAAGGGCTGCCTTACTTATTTAGTAGACCGTCCTTCAGAAACATAGACCATCAAGGACGGTGGGACGGGCTATGTTTTATACACTGGATATTCATTCTGTTTTTGTCAGAATGCAAACTAGATTCTGTCTGATTTCTTTTCTCTTCAGATGTGGAGCTGATTTGCGTCTTTGAGGTTTTGTATGTGTGCTCCCTTATCAGATTCTCACAAATTACAATTCTTGGTCGTAATAGCATCCACTTCGAGTGAGTGAGTGAGAGAGCGAGTTCCAACCTATTGCTATATAGCAGCAAAAATAAATAGTCTAGGCTGAGGTGGGATACTGACTGAAATCATAAGCAACGATCCAAAGGAAGATAGGCTGAGTTACAGAGCCTGACCATCCGACCCAGTTTAATATGCACATTCGATACAACCATTTCCATAATTTTAAGATTCTTAAATTTCTACCGAAAGCATGTGTGTAAGATCCACAATCAATTAGTTTAGATACCAGGATGCCGTTTCACGAAATCCTCTTAGTGTTATGATCCCCTTACCGCCACGGCACGGTTTATGACTGTCTCAAAGTCAATCTTAAACTTGAAGTGAGTGAGTTTCATTTTACGCCGCTTTTAGCAATAATCCAGGAGTATTTCGGCGGGGGGTACCAGAAAAGGGCTTCACACATTGTATCTATGAGGGGAATCGAACCCGGGTCTTTGGCTTTACGAGCTAACGCGTTAACCATTTAGCTACCTCACCGCCTCCTTACGACATCGCATTTTACATAGCAACCGGACCCGGAAGTAAAAGGGCACCTGTCGATATGATCATCTGATGATCAGTCGGTATCGTCTTTATACCGAGTCAATTCCCGATACAAAGAATTATGAGGTATACATGGTCAGAAAGCGTTGTTCTATTCAGTTTGGGTTTAACGTGTCGTATTCGTACATGTCGCCATGATCGTCGGTCAATATTCGATTGATTATTTCAGAAACATGTAATGTGTAATCTATATCACTCTTCTTTGAAAATACGAATGAAACAACTTGAGAGTTACGTCCCCTTTCGGCAAAGAAGACGTCAAAACATTGCCGAGCGTGAAGAAATGAAGTTTATCGAGACAAGAAATATACTTTCTTTATTAGTCAAAGAAAACATTCTTCTAAAAATACTGTTAAAGTGTCTTTCTTTAGTTATTGTAAAATATAAACAAATAACATGATCTGGCAACAAGGTTATTTATTTATCACAAAATGTGGAAAATATTATATAACTAACTGTAGCAGAGAGCGTTCTGAGACATACTTAATACAATCTTAGAAGCTCTGTGTACTGCATTTCCGGTAAAGTTGAGCGTCGCACACAGCGTCAACATTGGCAGCGTCATAACCTGTTCGAGATACAAAGGCAACCTTGTGGCTAGGCGTTTTCACATGTATTAAGAAATTACTGATATTACAATTGATTTATAGATATCTGTTTTCTATTTAAAGACATCAAGAATTAATTGAAGACATATATATTTTGAAATAATTTCTGATAGAAAAAATCGAATTACTGACAACGTATAATGTTATTGAGATATTTCTTGATACCTCCAAATGTGTTTAAGATTTCATTTACAAAATTACTATCATATCGTACATAATTATATTAGAGCTTAATTCAAGATATCTTAAATTTAATTAAAGATATCTAAAAAGTAATTTATACATATCCACAAATGCATTACAGATATATTTAATTCAATTAGAGATATGTTCTTCTTCATGGACGGTGGGGTAGCCCAGTGGTTAAAGCGTTCGCTCGTAGGTTATTACAGGTTATTGATATCAGGAAAAGACGGCAAATCAATCATTCATTTCAAGGTATCTAACATTCAATTTAAGATGTCTTCAGTTCAAAATATCTCTTTTTTTCATTCACGTTACCTTTAAAACAATATAATACATCAGTAATTTCCGAATATATCTGAACACGGCTTCCTATACGACTATGTCTACTTGAGGCCTCAGTTTAGGGATGAGGGTGCTTTCACTGCATCCGTGAATCTTTGGGAAACCGCACAATTTGAGGAATTCTTCTATAAGTTGTCTGTGCTTGACGAGGGGGTGAAAATATATAACTCTGACAGAATGAAGAATGGCGGACGCAATCTCGACAAGTGAATGTCACCGATCTTGCTATAAAGACGACCTTTAGTAAATTACCTCAGAGTACACAACGCATGGATCTCGGCAGGTGGTTAACGCAAACGTTGATGCGGTTGCAATAGATGTACATCAACATGAATAACGTGATCACCTTCAATAGATACAGTTTGAACATGAATATAATTATTGCCCCTTGAACATTCAGTGCACTTTGTTCTTGTAATTCATTTACATTGATGTTGTTGCATCAACCTTTATCTAATATGTTGCGATAACATTGGTCTGTGATTATAGAAATGATGTGCGTAGATGCATTTTAGTGATTAGTTCACAAATCACAAGAAAGGTTTTGACATAATACAAGTATTATGCAACTGCAAGTAAGGTCTAGTTTAAAGCTGGTTCATCACGTGTTAAATTAGCATTGTTTTGGTTAATTTGCAATTACCGTAGCAATTATGTTAATGCACTGAAATTCACATAGTGTTGTTATGAACACGGTGAACGTGTACACATGGAAATGAATATTGCGTATGTGCGTAACAGTGATTAACCAACCAGGCCTTCAAACACTGCTTCTTGCACATAGAAAAATGAACGTGAGAAGAAATGACAAGCTTTCAGAAACTGGGAGCTTGTCTGTGTTGACTGTGTAAGAAAGATGTTAGCGCCTTTAACTCCAAACCTATGTCACCTATGTCGTTAACCATCAACAGTTGTTTGTAACGGTATACTGTGCCCCACGACCTGGTGGTGTCCTCTCACTTAGCCAGATTCTGTCAAAACAGGTCTCATAGTAGCAGTGTAACATCTCGCTATATATATGTACTTAAGTATCGGCTATGTAACATCTGTCCCTAGGTTAGATTGACATAGGTGACATAGGTTTGGAGTTAAAGGCGCATATATCTACGAAGTTGAATCATCAAAAACGCCGACTCTGCATTTCCGGTGTTCGTTAGACATCTGTCCCTATCCTAATAAAAAAAAATACTTAGATCTATAAATCATGATATTATCAAATCAGTACATAACTTTATTATCACTTCAAGAAGATTTAATCAATCTTAAGTTTTCATCTAGCCCTTTGCAGAACTAAAAGGGGCGCGTTGGGCGAGCTGGCTAAGGCGCCAGGCTAGTGATCCAGCGAGGTTGAGGTGACGGGATCGAGCCCACCTGTGACCGGGTGTAAAAACCTTGGAGTCAACTTTGTGTGCAGACTCTTTCAGTGTTGTCACAACCCCTAGTGTACAGTACACAACCCTGTGCACTTAAAAGAACCCACGAATCCGTTGGTACATGACCAGATGGTGGCCACATGAATACGTGCAAACACCTAGTTGCGGGTACAGCAACGTGCAGTGAACTTGGACAAAGTACTGTGACCATGTGTCCCAGTCCACCCAGCTGTGAATGGGTACCTCGTTAAGATGAGAAAGTCACAATAACTCGGTGCGCCTAGTGGCTGAAAGAGTTGTATACTCCCCAGGGAGTTGAGATTGATAATACGATGTGCTGTTGAGATTACATCCAAAGATCGAGGGAAAAAATACCAGCGCCTTGAGCATGCACTAGTTGCCTGGATATGTGCGCTATATAAATATTCTATAATAATAATAAAAGTATTTCTGCTGTATGGATGTTTATATTCATGTATATTGTATGCTTTATGTTGTTTATGATATCGTGTACTCTTGTAATAATGCTATGAAATACAAGTCGCATAAATGCCACTTAAGGAAGAAAAGTCGCATAAATGTTATTTTGTCTGGACATACATTAATATAAGATTTTTCCATTTTCTGAACAATATATCAGAAATAAACATGTTTAAACCGAATTTTCATATTACAAACAAACGCACACACACTTGCATACATCTTAAATCGTGTCGCATTGTAGATATAGACTATAGCCCTTGAACAAAGGCTCACGCTTCAGTGAATAATGCTAATTACCTGGATCCCATCTCTCACCTAGCCACAGTGCAATGTTGTCTTAACAAGACCTTTTTGGTCAGACTGCTAAGTGAGAGTGAACCGACCTGGTACCCATTACCGGACTAGATATTGTGACACGTGTCTGAGTTATTGCGATGATCATAAACTGCCGTCTTCATGAATATTAAGGTGTTATACTCTGTTAATATTGACTTTACAGACAAAGAATGGGGGTTTTGAAGCTATGACCAAACCTACTAAAACTACCAGTTGACACAATCGCATGTAAGCCATTGAAACTGAACATGAATGTCACGCTTTCAATACACTGTTTAATACTTTACATATTACTTTACAAACACATTGTCGGGTAAATGAAACTAGACACTCGTGTACGATGGTGGTTAAAGCTGCAGCACAGAAGAAACGTTGTCAATGTTGTTGTAGTTGACATGGATATCGCCGTTCTTTGTTTTGAACCTTACGTTTGCAGTGTATGGACGACTTTTTCAACCTGTGGTCTGGTGGTTGAGTGAGTGTTTTCATTGCATGTATTTCAACACTATCACGGTCGGGACATCTGACATGGCCTTCACACATTGTACTCTTCGGGCATTCGAAACTTCATCCACCTTCATCCACTAAACAGTTTTACCGTCGTTCACAATTTAATACTAGTAGCGCTGTATTATATTCTTACTGGACTAAATTAATAATACTTCCTTACATGAACACATTTGCATACGTGAGTAAATTTGCACACGTAAGTATATTTACTCACGTATGCAAATGTGTTCATGTAAACGCAATTTGGGTATTAGTCTTATATTTGTATATCGTTTTTAAGATGTACATAGGTGAGACGTGAATCAGTTTTATCAATAAATATTCAAATAGAATTAACAAAATCCCTTCCATATTCATAACACGGTCACTGCTCAACGCAGAATCCATTGTACGATTCCGACTATCTTGAGCATGTGTCTACAAACCGGTGACAATAATTTCCTGCTCAGGTAACTGAGTTAGGCCTGTAATATGTCCCATTTTATTTGGGTGAGGTGAGGTGAAATTGGGTTTAACGTCGTGCTTGAGAATATTTCGCTCATATGACGACGTGCATGCGTGTATATGTGTATGTGCGGCTGCTTGTACTAGCCCAGACTTAAGCTGGTTTTATAGTGCTAGCCCACTGAGATACCATGCCGCAGTGAAGCACGAATACCCCACTCAGACACATTATACTGACTCCGAGCCGACCAGTCCTTGTTGTAACCATTAATGCCGAGCGCCAGGCAGGTACCAACAAGTACCATATTTTAACGTCTTTTGGTATGACGCGATCGGGGAAAATTTTATTTGGACTTATATGCAGGAATATATAGGTGATAAAAATAATGATATTCACATTTCACACAGAACAGTTTGAGGGCCCATGTCCGCAGTTGCAATGCCATTTGTCGGTTACCTAAAAGAACGTTATCTTTTGCACCCGCAATGCTTATATATAGTTCAACAAGTACCCATAAAAATACAGTTTCGTTTTTTAACGAGCGTTGCTACGGTTACCTAAAATACGCTATCAGTAACTACATGTCTCTCGCAGTTATTGTCTCCATGGCACTATACCCTTGTCTGAAAGCCACACATGGTGCCAATGGGAAACATGCTGACATCACTCACTCGACCCGCGAATGCCGGTGAGGTCACATAACATGACAATCTGGAAACGTATATCGGCCCGCGCATGCGTAACAGATGACCCCGACAGCACATCTCGACTCCCTATGGAGAATTGCTTGTTTACAAGTACCTGCGTGTGGTTTGGATTATCCCATTACCGGAACAATCTATGTGAAGCACGTGTAACCTTGCGCGTGTTTATGTAACCGAATTAGAATGGTCAGCATGTTCTGACATATGATAGCAAAACAGCTGGTGCATGCAGTGAGATGACAATTTGATTCATTATCATATTCGTAACTGCAGATATCTCAGGAAATTTAATACCTGAATATGTAACATATACTAGTATATGGACAGATTAAAATTCAATATGCCGAAATCAGATGTGAAAAAACTAAATAAATTATTATGATTAATCATATTTTTGGATGTGTGTAGTTTATCCCAACAATCCCAACTAAACTACCAACAGTATGTCAAAGGAAAAAAGTATAATTATGTTGATTATACTTGTGTCAGTGTAGAATAGGAAGAATTTGTCAAACAATTATACCCAAAGAGATTAACAACAGTATGTCAACGGGAAATGAATATGTTGATTATACTTGTGTCAGTGTAGAAGAATTTGTCAAACAATTATACCCAAAGAGATTGACAACAGTATGTCAACGGGAAATGAATAATTATGTTGATTATACTTGTGTCAGTGTAGAATAGGAAGAATGTGTCAAACAATACCCAAAGAGATTGACAACAGTATGTCAACGGGAAATGAATAATTATGTTGATTATACTTGTGTCAGTGTAGAATAGGAAGAATGTGTCAAACAATACCCAAAGAGATTACCAACAGTATGTCAACGGGTTATGAATAATTATGTTGATTATATTTGTGTCAGTGTGGAATGTTATTAGGTTATCAAACGTGACAAAATATTTCACTGGAATATGGCTATGCTCATTACATTTTTGTCTGAAAAGAATATGTGTAGTTTTTCACACAAAACCCAAAGAGACCGAAAACAATATGTGACCAGGATAAGATTATGCAGAATACATGTGTGACCACTTAGACTGGAAGTATGTATTGTAAATACGAATGTAACATTGATCGTTCATTACCCATTACCCATTCATTTAGAATATTATTATTATTATAATTTATATGTAAGGATTTTTACACCACGATGTTGAAATCGAACGTGAGATCCCACATCGCACAGCAGGTGCAGAACGCAAAACATTCTGAAATTCCTGCATAGTTATGAAACAGACACAAACCCTTCAACTTTTAAGTCGTACACATCCCTTGCGTTTTGTTCAAATATTTACTTCACGTCAATTGTAAAAGGAATAAACACATGTCCGATTACCAACACGACGGTGTATGTTCGAGATTCTCCCCGTCCAAAAATATCCCACAAAATGGACAAATCTCCCCCTGGCAAACTCCCTACTGTGTTCCGTTGTTTAATTGTAAGTGGAGCAGCGTTGTCTGGAGCTCAGCGGGATCCACGGTTCCAAGCGGAGAGTGCATCCCAAGCAGACGATATAAGCAGCAGACGATTATTAACGCAGCTCAGGCAAGTCACGTGCAAACATACCGTAAAAGGGTGCAGGGTAAGACGGCTGTACGACAGACGAGCAAGGATCAGATTTCAGAGCGAGGCCGGCTTTACATACGGAGCGTGCGCAGTGAAGATTCCTGTTATTCCGGCTTGCTACCGTTCGAGGTCTTTTTGGAGCAAATTGTTATCGGGGGATAGTCAGTAAAAGATTTCAAAGCCAAAATGGTGAGTGGATTACTAACATTTTGCATCGTTTAACCCCTGGTTCTATATACGTGTATTTTGTCCAAAGGGTGTTTACACAGACCAAGGCCACATATGAATTCATTCTGGGAGTCGGGAACTACCACAGCAAAATGTCGAAGGGAGCCCCTCGCTGATACTTCTATTAATGTCAGGTCATGATAGAGTAGCTCCGATTTGCGCTACGTCAGTTACACCTGTAGGTATTGTTTGATGTACTGTACCTGTTTATTGTTACCACCAAAAGGTGGATTCCACTTGCATGTTTCAGGAATACCCTCCGACATTCTACCATTCCAATTTCCGGATGTTATCGGAACAAATGTGTGTGTTATTTCCTTTAGTTACGCCATACTAAAAGCATATGTCGTTTGCGAATAGTCTCGGGAAACAGATGATGTATTCTAAACTAGATTTCTGATGAGAAGAGTAAATACAGGTACTATATATCTTGTGTTTGTGAAATATATACCAAAGTAAAAATCCGCTCCAGGAACCTTATTCCGTAAGAGAAACTAATGGTTAGTTCTTTCTCCTTTATCATCCACGATGAGTCAGAACGAACTTTTCAGAGCAACTCCTTATATCCGTGTTTGCCACAAAGGACCACGATCTTAGAAACAGAATCATCCAGTCCCGTAAGCTGCCTGTGTTCTGCTCAGCTCTGCAGAGCACCAACCAACCGCATGTGTTGTTTTCTTCAACTCAAACCCAAGAAAAACACCACGATGTTTTGCGAGGCACTCAACTATTTATAACGTGTTGAAGATATTTATAAACATCGGCCTACTGGGCCATTAGATCCGTATCTATTTATAGCATATATCTACGAAGTTGAATCATCAAAAACGCCGACTCCGCATTTCCGGTGTCGGACAGATATTTAGAAGTAACACATCTGGAAATCATCACTATAACACAGAAAATCGGAGGTGGGATTTTCTCAGAAAGATCCCCGTCTCTGCCGTTATCTCGACACCTTTATGTTGTAAATTGAGTGGTGCAACAGAACTGTGATTGTTCTATACATTCAGCTTCGGATAGAACGAACATGGTATGAACAAAAACAAAGAAATGGCATCAAAATCAAGCTTTTGTGATTCACATTATTGTTCAAAGGTGTAACGCAATTGGATAAATAAGAATTTCAACATTGCCATGGAGATGTATTTCAGTTATGATAGCGATTATTGGTATTTTTGTCTGACGGATTAAGGTGTTTTGGACTGACGGTTTGACACAAAACACGTATTTAAATTATAACATAATCTTTCTCATTATGCGGGTTAAATCTTTGCTAATTGTGAATTGCCCTATTTTTGTTGCATCTTTTAAGAATCATTAATGAATAACTATGCATTGTTTATTTTTCAGACCGAATTCAAGGTTACCGAAAAACAGTTTAGTGGTGAGTAGTATTTCGGCCTGGATTCTCTGTGAAGAGATATTTATGTTTCCAACATCGAACTTGACTTGCTTCAAGTTGGATCCGGTCCATTCTATGACTAAAATATGTATCATGTATGAATTTCTTTAGATCTACATCACATATCATCATGTGAAGGATTCATTAATAACGCCACCTGTACGTGTTCGTCACATGTGCCTGTAACCTCTGGGTTACAGTATGAGGAACAGGCAACGTCATGAGCGACACACATGTGCCAAGACCACTTCTTGAGCTACCTTGGTACAAAGGAAGTGATGTGTCATTATTTCCCACGGAGAAAACCGTTGCTAGGAAATGACGTACAGTTATATATGTTTTAAACTACAATCTATAGTATAGATGTTGTTGGGAAAATATAATTACAAATTAACCATGACTTCTTTGAGTGGCATTTTAGAAGTTGAAGAGTCAGATAAGGGCATATTTTATGGATGAACACCTTTATTCACCATTATTATCGCGTTACCTGTATAAAGAAGTTGTTCATTCATAAAGTTTGTCCTTATCAACTAAATTAGGAACTCTGTAATTTGGCAGAAACATATTAGAAATATTTTGTAAGTACATGTACTCTTGTGTGTTATGTGTAGGATCAGAATATGTTGTGTCATGTGACAGTCACGTGAATGGAATTCAAACTAGTTCTACTATAGATCCTCACAAAGCAAACAGAGTAGTCACCGGGTTGAACCGGTTAAAGGCCAATTCATCCCTATGATCAGTCTTTCTAAGAATATAACAGACTATCAAGCTAAGGCTTTGCACGTGGTGATGATGAGAGGTTTAATGTTACTACAACATCAAGACGATGTTTTTACAACAGTTTACCTCCGGTATTATCTCTTTGATAGGGCATCCTCCAGGAGCCACAACTATTTTTGGTTACCTGGTTACGTAAATAGATGTGTTCTTGATACACGTCTATTGCGTGTGTTACGAAACATTAAGCAATGCAAACGTTAATCTGAAAAGGCAGCAACAGTCCCTGTTAGTGAACAAACATGATTACGAAGTAATGACAAACAGTAACAGAACCTTCCACAGCACCATTCCTTGTAGATGAGCTCCTTATCCTTATCCTTCATGGGCAAACGAGGATAGTCAGTCCTTATCCTTCGGCAAACGAGGATATACTACTTAACGTTTGTGAGGAATAGGTCTTCGTAGTTATTTTATATGTTTCTCCATAAATGCAAATAATGTAAACTATAAATACCAATGTCAAAGGTTTGATAACATATACACTTACTAAACTCTATTCGAAAAGAATCTCTTCCTGCTCGAGGAATGGCCTGTTTTGAATGATCATCAGATATTCTACTTGTGTGTGAGTCTTTTCATTGACTGTACGCAGATAATAATAATAATGATAATTGATATAGACACATTTGCAATAAGTTCTCTTCTTTCTCAGGTTTAGTAATTGGTTTGATCTGGAAATATGTTTCCTGTTTTTACACACCATAATGTATTATATTACTTAGTGTTTAAATAACATTTTCAAATTCTATTTAACAGAAACGATATATAGCGATAAGTAAAGGTTATTTAATTTCATAACATTAATGTTTCATATATGATTTTCATATATGCAATTATGTCAGAAATAAGAGTAACTTTGTTTCACTCATGATGCACTTGGATGTTTAAGCGAAACGAAACAAACCTAAATCCTGTGGCAGTAATCTACGAAAAGATGGTCCTGAATCTGTGAACAGACCTCGTGTTGCAACAGCTGCCGAAATAAATGCAGCTGTGTGCCAGAAAGTATCAGCGATGTCGTTAAGTGATCTTCTAGCCTGTCTGGGTTTTCTGTATTACTCGGTTACGTTAAGAACACGCGTCACTGAAATGTAGGCACTGCAGCATAATAACAAATGTTCATAAGATAAAAATACAAATGATGCTAAAGCTTACAAGCCAACACTGTATTACCAAGCAGGTCTTTCACATGTTTGATTGTGTCATAGCTGTAGTGATAACCCACTGTATGTACATTTATGATAATAACCTGTATCATTGCTTCAAGTCATTTATGATTTGTTTATGCAATTCCTCACACATTATTTTCCCTACTGCCTAGCCCTCCCTGAAATGCTGAAGCCCTAAATGAAGCAAGTCTACATTTCCTCACATTCTGAATCTCCCAACTCACTGGGGCTCCTTTTCAATTTAAATAGGTTCATTTGTTAATATCAAAATTATATATATCCAGAGACTAAACGTTAGTCTAGATCTCACTTAACATCCTCTGTAATCTGCGGTAAGGGCATGTGTGAATTTAGTACAAGGTACCAGGCACCTGCTTTTACATACAAATTGTAAGATGAAATTTGCCTGCCGTGAGAAATATATTTCGCACGGGGTGGTAACGCGCTGTACACCATTGCTATGGCTACCTCCTTTATCATACTGGATCACAAGTGACATAACGGGATGTAAGTTTAGCCTTGAAGGAACAGGTGGCGATATGTTTCCTGGGAGGTCCCATGACATGGATTTAAACACTAAAGAAAGAGATAGCTTTGAACACCTGTCCTGCGTTACCATTGGTTGGCAAACGCTTAGTCTTTAAAGATGCATATATTCTGATAGAAATAGATAAGTCCATTTGAATTTAAACGGAGCTCCAGTGAGATTGGAGATATAATACCCAAGGAAAATCTAAACTTGTTAATTTTGTGATTTTACTGTTAGATTTAATGTCTGGGCGGTAGGGAGAATACTATGGTCCAGAGTCTGTGAGACAGACTAGTTGATAGGTAACCATTACAGTACGTGTCATCGCACAGGACAAACGAGGCACTCCTTGGAGGAACATCATTACGATGACGTCACGCTATTATAAGTGCTTTTGATTCTGGGCCAGGATTTCAGTTGATCTTCTGAACACAATGTAAACAGGAAACACTGACAGAACCAAAGGTTATTTACACTGCAAATTATTTCCAAAATAATTTATCAATTATAACATGATGTCATTAGAGCAATGGTTGGAATCTGATGATTAGGGAAATAGTATGTAGAATCAGCATGCGTATGGAAGCAGTTGTGCGCCATCACTCTGAGTTAGTGAAGTCGGCCTTGATGACTTAGGAGATAACGGTTTTAGGAAATATACAAACACAGCTTCGACGTGTTCACATTTTAGTTAAGTTATTTATATATTTGGCTCACAAGTGAATTAGACTGGGTGACTGTTCCTGCACTCAGTGTGATCCTGGCTGGATGACATAAGTCATCTTGATTCAAATTCTGCACATAGACCCACCTCCTCAAAATTACTGATTTAAACAGAAATACAGAAAAACTGAAACCAAATCAGGTTTGTGTTGGAATTTACAAATATCCAAATATATACCTAAGATGATATGATCTCCTGACACGTTAAGTAGGTATGCATTGCTTTCAGAAAAAGCAATATGATGAAACATCGTGAGCACTGCAATAGTCGGGTACCGATTATATGTAGGTGCGTTTGACATGGATGTAGTTTAGTGTTTTTGTAGGACATAGCGTCTTATTACATATCTCTGTTTCCGAAGCATGAGACATGTTCCCATCTATGGAGCATTGTTAGCATGTGTAGAAAGTTACTCACAACACAGATGCTTCTCCTTACAGTAATCGCTCAGCAGGACACAACATCTCCGGTTGCAGCCAACTGCGTTGTTCCTGACTCTGACGTAAAACAACATTGTATCACTCAGGGCTAAGGGAGTAAAGTCAATTGTTAAAAGTGTCCAATGGCTCAACTGTCAAGAGGTGTTGTGGCAATTCATATATCAAACACTTACTAATGACATGCCACGCTGCTGGACCTTAGCTGTTAATTTGGGGATTCTATTTCACCATTATGCACCAATCGTTAGGATGGTTGCACTAAAATAATTTTCTTATTAGTTTTCCTTTTACTCTGTATGCAAGATCTATAGATGAAAAAAATACGGACCAAAAGATCGTTGCTTTGGCTGTAATAGGACAGAGATAGTTTCCAAACTCTAAATCTAGTTTTCATAAGTTCCAGTGATTTTGGTTGTAAGATTTAGATTGTCCCTGATTAAGATCCTACAAATATCAGTACTCAACTAGATGTATTCGGCACAGTGGTAATGGTGATGCAACTGAAATACGTATAAAATCAAGGTATATATCCTTACGCCTCACGAAGGGCCATTTATCGACTTCAGTGTCTTCAAGCATCCTGCCATAGAAGCTTAATGATAATGCGTCTCTGATGGATCATATAAAACATTTGCTGGCTAATATACGTCTGTTAAACCAGATATCAGTGCTGTGTTTTACTGTGGGATCTGGCAGTCTGTATGGCCATACCCTTGGGAGTATTTACCGAGCACTAGATACGTTAAGTAAACAGTATAACGTTCTGGCTACACAGCTGTTGGAGTATTCCCGAGAGACTCAGCAAGGCAGACATTCCAGGATATGCATCACAGGTATTATTAGAGGTTGCCTCTGCCCTCTGACATCTGGGATTAAACGTACCAGGATTCTTACATACGTTAGAGGGGCAAGAGTTCACATAACGCTGGTTCATGTTGCACTGTTATGTTGGCCATGGATGACATATCAGACATTGGTAGCTGCAATAGTCTCATATGTTATTTCAACAGTAATAGGAGAAGGTTTGGTTAAAAGTGAATTTCATGGATATTAAAAGAGCGAATTAGGTTTCTTCACTTGCATCACAATCCCTGTCAAATCATGACATTCGAGTATTCAGATTAAGTGAATGCTTTGACCACTCGGTTAATCAACCGCCATGTTAAAACTGAATACTAGCAATCAAAATTTGCATGACTATATATTACTGTGATCAATATTTATTATACGAAATATGACCGATGTCTGAAATATAACCATGAATAGTCATCTCAAAATGACAAAATTTACGCATGAATGTGTAACCACTTTTCTATTATTTCTCTGTCTGGGTA